CACCCAGGCTGGAGTGCAGTGGTGTGATCTCGGCTCGCTGCAGCCTTTGCCTCCTGGGTTCAAGTGGTTCTCCTGCCTTGGTAACTAGAATTGCAGGTGCAAACCACCATACCTGGCTAATTTTGTATTTTTAGTAGAGATGGGGTTTCACCATATTGGCCAGGCTGGTCTCAAACTCCTGGCCTCAAGTGATCCACCTGCTTCGGCCTCCCAAAGTGCTGGGATTATAGGCATGAGCCATCGTGCCTGGCCAGCAACTTGCTTTCTAATGTGGGAAAAAAAAAAAAAGGCATATGACCAAGTCCAGACTCAGTGTGGGACTGGGACTATACAAGGGCATAAATACAAGGATGCATCATTCATTAGGGGCCACCAATGTGACAGTCTACCCACATGGAGCAACAGGCGTTCTGAAACTCTAGACACAGAATTCTGGCCTTTAAGACTACAAAATAGCTGAGGCATGGAATCTTTCTGCCTGATTTGGCTACTTCTACTCTTGATGCATTCCTGCTTGAGAATCTTCTATAACTCTTTTTTTCTTTTTTTAGAGAATGGGGTCTCACTGTGGTCTCTAACTCCTGGGCTCAAGCTGTTCTCCTGCTTCTGCCTCTCTACCTACTGGGATTACAAGTGTGAGCCACTGCACCTGGCCTATAACTCTTTTTTACCTTTTCAAGCCTCTTTTGAAAAAATATCCTCACATCTGTTTTGTTCTGAGTGGTCTTTTGCTCCCATGTACTCTGTATAAACTGCAGTTTTTAAAGTGGTTAGATTTAGTGACAATTTTACTGCTATTTTTCTCTCCTCATGTAACTTCCTAAAGATATTGTCAGTGTAGTAATGGACACACTAGGTGTCTTTCCCCCCTTCTCCCTAAGGGTTTGTTATTTCCTTCCAGTTATTATCCAGATTACTAAGCTACCCTTCCTTCATTCTGTATTAATTGAGGGCCTATACTATATTGCCGTATCTGGGTAGCCCAGTAAATAAGCTTTTGTTTTCATGGAGCTTATATTAGAGTATGGGAAGTGGGACAGTACAGAAGTAAACAACAAGAATGAAATAATTTCAGCTAGTGATAAATGCTGGGGAGAAAATTAAAGAGGATAATGTGAGAGGGAGTGCTGGGGTAGAGATGGGGAGCTCCTTTAGCTTGCAGGGCACATAAGGCCTTTGTAAGGAAAGACATTTGAGCTGAGACCTGAATGATAAGAAGCCATCCATCCTGACAGGGTGACCAACTATCCCAGTTTGCTTGAGACTGAGGGATTGCTCAGGACATGGAACTTTTGGTGCTGAAACCTGCAGTTCCAGGCAAACTGCAACAGATGGGTAGCACAAGAAGAGGGAATAGCAAGTACCAAGGCCCAGCATTAGGAGGAAGCATGGTATTTTGGAGGTGTGACAGAAGGCGAGTGTGGCTAAAAATGTGGTGAGAAAGGGTTGAGTTGAGGCAGATGTTGCTGAGGAGGTCAGCAGTCATTGGCCCTTGTAAAGCCCTGTCAGTAATTTGAATTTTATCATAAGTGTGTTGGAAAACCACTGCAGGGTTTTAAATGAGGGAAGACGTGGTTTTACTTTTTTTTTTTGGCGGGGTGGGGTGGGATAGGATCTCCCTCTGTTGCCCAGGCTGGAGTGCAGTGGTGCAATCATGGTTCAGTGCAGCCTCGACTTCCTGGGCTCAGGCAATCCTCCTGCCTCAGCCTCCCTTGCAGCAGGGACTACAGGCGTGTGCCACTGCCTTTGGATAATTTTTGTGTGTGTGTATGTGTGTGTGTGTGTGTGTTTGAGATGGGCTGGTCTCAAACTATGTTGCCCAGGCTGGTCTCGAACTCCTGGGCTTAAGTGATCTTCCCTTCTTGGCCTCCCAAAGTGCTGGGATTACAAGTGTGAGCCACTGTGCCTGGCTTTATTTACATTTTAAAATGATCACTGGCTATGCAGAGAGTAAACCATTGGGGTGCCCGTGGAAGTGGGAAGACAGGTTGGGAGACTGGTCTAATCATCTCTCTTGAGATGATATTGACTTGGACCAGAGTGGTTGCCAGGAAGGAACCTGGGCTGCTTCTCACTCCTCCCAGCTCTTCCTCTCCTTCCTAAATCAGCAGCTTCTTACCCTGAAGAGTGTCTTTGCTGAAGTAGGTATTTCCAGCAGATTTACCATTTTGTAGCAAACTTCAGCCCTACTTGTATCACACAGGTGCTTTATCAGTTTTTCTTTGCAGTATTTTCAAAGTACTCAAATACAATAATATAGCGTTTTGTTTGTTTTTAAAGTATCTATTGATTTTCTCATAGGGCCAGATTGGGTAATGCTTTTGAATGCCAAGCTTAAAGGGATTGATTTTTATCTTGGATGCTTTTGAAGGAGTATATTTAGAATTGTGCGACATAAATAGAGCTATGCTTGCTAAAAGTTAATCTAGTAGGAGAGTTGGGGTAAGACAATGAAGTAAGAGGTGGATGTGTTGAATTTTAGGTGACAGGAGGCTGTTCAAGTAGAAATGTCGGTGGGGAGGGTGAGGGGCAGTTAGAAAAGTAGAACTAGATCTTAGTAGCAAGGTTGGGTCTGTAAATAGAAATGTGGGAGTCACCATAGAGAGGCGGAGTTGGATTTGGGGGAGGGCCCTCATCTGTTTATTCAGCAAGCAATTGAGTATTCATTGAATGCCTCCTAGGTGCTGGGGATGTTAAGGTGAACAAGGCAGGTGGATCCCTGTTCTCAGAAAGTTGGCATTCATTGGGGTATGTTAAAGTAGAAGGGCAAACAATAAATGACTTCATGAGTAAAATAATTTCAGAGAGTAGTAAATGCTGTGTAGATAATGAAACAGCATGATGTGCTGTGGCTTGGGGATGCTGGGGAAGAATCTTTTTTAGATTGGCAACCAGGGCAGGCCTCTTTGAGTAGGTAACGTTTAACTGAGACCTGAATGATAGGAAAGAGCCAGCCTCTGGAAGGTCTAGGGATAGAGCATTCCAGATGAAGGTCTTGGACACCAGGGCTAGGTCTAATCTTGGGAAAGGTCCCATTTAAGCAAATGAAGATGTTGACCAGCAAAGAGAGAGACAGGAAGGAAGGCAGGGACTGTGCTGGCTTCACTCACCAGCACAGTGAGCATTTTACACAGAGGTAAGTGTTCATGTTAAAAAGAAACAAACCAGGCTGGGCATGGTAGCTCACGCCTGTAATTCCAGCACTTTGAGAAGCTGAGGCAGGCAGATTGCTTGAGCCCAGGAGTTCAAGACCAGCCTGGGCAACATGGCAAAACCCTGTCTCTACAAAAAACATTAATACAAAAATTAGCCAGTTGTGGTGGCGCATGCCTGTGGTCCCAGCTACTTGAGAGGATGGGGTGCGAGAACCATCTGAGCCTGGGGAGATTGAGGGTTCAGTGAGCTGTGATCACGCCACTACACTCTAGCCTGAGTGACAGAACAAGACTCTGTCTCAAAAAAAAAAAAAAAAAAAAAAAAGAAACCAGGATTGTGTTCTGCCACCAACACTAAGGAATCAGAATCCCAAGAAGGATGGCAGTGATGGCATGACCTGCAAGAAAGTCGAGGAAAAGGTCACTGGTTTTGGGGTTAGGTCACTGGTGAACCATTGAGATTGCCGACTCATTAGAGGGTGCTGAATTCAGAGACCACCAACTGCAAAGGGTTAAAAAGCAGGGAATGGGGAAATAGAAGCAGCATTTTTGGACTCTGTAACAAATCTTTTTCTTTGTCATTTGTGAACGTATCTTAAAAGACTCCCCCACTAAGTACACCCACCTTTGGGAATCTTTCCTGGCTGTGCTCCTGAGTTTACTCACTTTCTCTTGCCCCTTCTGTGTTACCAACCTTTCCCTGTTCTCTCCTCTTTTGCTTTCCCTTTGCTTCTGAAGATTTGCCATTTTGCACTCCCATTCCCTTTTATCTCCACACCCTACAACTGCAAGCCAGTCCTGCCTGTCTTTGCTGGTGGGGTCCTGGTTCTTGGATCTAGAAAGGGGCCATGACAGATTTGACAAAAGGGATGATATTTCGATGGGCCACCAAGGTGTTGTTTAAGACCTGTGAATATTTGAAAACAAAGAGAAGGAAGTCAATGGAGAGGGAGGCACTAATGATGAAGAGGCAGAGGGGAGCACAGGACATGAGGCAGAAGTGGAAGGGTTCATCTTCATTAATATGAGGTGAAATCCTTTTTCCTCTGAATTAAGACGAAGGAAATAATACATGAGGCTGGGTCCCAAGATTCTTAAGTTGAAAGAGACGTGAGTAGGAGAAGCTTACGGTAAGTGGTCTGGATCTTTTTAGCAATACGGAAAGCCAGGTGGAATAAAAAAAAAAAAGAAAAAGAAGAAAGAAGAAAACCAGGTGGTCTGCTAAAAGTTAAGCTCAGAATTGGTGAAGGAATTTTGGAGTCACCACTCCAGAGATTTTTCTGGGGAATAACCAAGTGGTGAATGAAAGAACCATAAAGCACCAGCAAAGATCCAGTTGAAGTTGATGTGTATTTTTAGCAAAATCTGCCTTTGTCCAGGCTTGCTCTGCCAGGGCCTGAGCAGCTGGTGCTAATGTTAACTGCTGTTAATAAAGAGTTTGGATTTTAGCCACTGAAGATATTTTGAGACATTATCCTCGTAGTTGTCCTTAACAGTAAATCAAAGACTGATTGATTTGTTTTCCTCTCGTTTGACTTCAACCTGTCAGAGGCATGTAATTAGTAAGTGCTGCCTGTGGAATCCAGTATAAGGAATTTTAATCAACAACTTTTCATAGACTTATTAAACATTATAGCTATTATGAAAAGTGAAAGCTCTCAAACTTATCATAGTCTCTTTTGTTTGTAGTAGTTTCTATAGCGCATTTAAGTTGTAAGGTGTACATCTACTCAGGTGCAGTTTTTGAAATATTTTTGATTTACTCACAGTAATATCCTCAAGTAGAAATTTGCTGACTAAATGGAAACAGATATCATTTTAGGACCTCCTTTTTTTCTATGTTAGGTTGAAAATGGTGTATTTGTAGCCAACCCTCTTCAGGAACGCACAATTCTAATGAGAAAAGAGGGCGAATCTGCAAAAAGCATTAATGAGATGCTTCTAAGTAGACTTTCTCGGTATAGAGCCTCCCCGTCAGCAACCCTTGCTGCCCTGACTGGTTCCACCATCTCCAACACACTAAAAGAGGATCAAGCAGGTATGTTACTCTGTGCTTCCCAGATCTGTTTCCTTGTATAGCTCTGTTCAGCTACATCTTATTGTGCACTTCCTCCATGCTGTGCAAAGCCCTTTCCTTTGCATAGTTGACCTTATTTGGTCTTCCAGTCATTGTCCAGCTTTTTATTCCAAGCCAATACATGTTGTAGGCTATGGACATAAATTCATATGAACCTGTAGGAATGCAAAACAACCCCATGTTAAACTATAAACATCTTATCATCGTCACCATTCGTATAAATTAGTTGATTTCATATTTCACATATGCTTTATGAATGTGAAAACTTGAAAGTTAGCATCATCTTCCCTAAATACAGTCTTGACCAAGCAAATAACAGAAAAGCCTTCTACAGTAGATATTTTGTTTTCTAGAATTTATCATTTAGTTTTTGTAACTTAATGTTTTAAAATAGATAATACATGTACAGAATTTGAAAGTCAAAATAATGTAAAAAGGTATATGCGGAGAAGTCTTATTCTCACCACGTTGGTAAATTTTATATTCTGCCCCCACCCTACCCCACCACAGGTAACTATATTTATTAGTTTTCATTTATCCTTCCAGTGTTTATGCAAGCATAATTAAAGATTAATTTATATGTTCATAATTTCTGCCTTTTCTTAATAAAAGGTAGTATACTATATACACTATTCTGCACTTTTAAAGTAGGAATTCTTAACCAGGATACACCTTTAAGGGAATGTGTTTAATAACATGTTATTAAACATACTCCCTCAAAGTTTTAGATATCATTTTATATGTATCTGTCATAATTTTCATCAGATTTTCAGAGTCGTCTATGACCCCCCAAAACATTAAGAACCATTATTCCGTGGAGTTTATAGATTACATGCCAAATATTTGGATTAATAACAAACTATGAACTGTAGTAAAAGATAAAGCTAGAAAAAGATACCATATGTAGAAAACTGCATCTGAATTAATAGGCATTTGATGAATTCAGTGTAATTTTATGCTTTATTTTTATAGTTAGAAATGCTAGGAAGAGAAAATATTTATGGTTAATTTGTTATGAGACTACCAAATTAAATACTTATTAGTCCATATTAGAATTTAAGGACAGTATTTTATTTTCACAGATTTCTATTGTATCAAAGATAAGTGGCAAAATTGTTAATAGTTTTTGTGATTTGGGTAAGTGGATAATTCCAGCTGTAGAAGATACTTTCTAGAGGATAGTCTTTTATGTTTCTGTTTTTGTTGTTACCTAAATAAACGTTTTCATGACAAGCTGAAGGCCTGATCTGGGTTTGTCCCTTGGGAAAAAATGAAATCTTACCCTAAACAATGGAAATACTAAAGGAATGCTTATTGAAAATATGTATAATATCAAAACAAGACCTCAGAAGGCAAGGATATATTTAGAATTTGGTAGAAATGTGCACGCTTTAGTAGCATGTATACTGGAATTGGTAGAAACTGGTATCTGTATTCTAAACATGTGGTCTCATTGTACTTTTTTTTTTTTTTTTTTAAGAGATGAGGTCTTGCTATGTTGCCCGGGCTGGTCTCAAACTCCTGGGCTCAAGCAGTCTGTGGATTCTTTAACATGATGTTGCTACATTAAAAATTCACCAGTTATAAACCAAGAAACTTTTCAAAAGTAAGCGAACATACAGGCGCAGTGGCTTACGCCTGTAATCCCAGCATTTTGGGAGGCCGAGGCGGGTGGATCACCTGAGGTCAGGAGTTCAAGACCAGCCTGGCCAACATGGTGAAACCCCATCTCTACTAAAAATACAAAAATTAGCCGGTCTCGATGGCGGGCACCTGTAATCTCAGCTGCTTGGGAGGCTGAGGCAGAATTGCTGGAACCCAGGAAGCAGAGGTTGCAGTGAGCCGAGATGGCGCCATTGTACTGCAGCCCAGGCCGACAATGGTGAGACTCAATTTTGAGACTCAGTCTCAAAAAATAAAAAATAGAAAAGCTTTTATTCCATTATAAACTAATACCTATTACCATGTTAATAAGGGTATGTCTATTAAAAACATCTTGGTGAAAATGTTATACTCACAAAGTTGCTAATTTTCCAGTTATTGCTGTCTTGAGGTTTCTTACCTGTGGAAATTTATCTTCTTGAATTTATGTCCTTAATGAAGAATATACTTGGTGGGGGCTTGCAGCTTAAAAAAAATAAAACTTTTTAGAAGCACAAACATTCAAAACAAATATCAGATAGATTAGGTTTCACTTTACTCACTCTTCTAATCTAAACCATCTAAAAATGATTTTCATCTATCTAGGCTATAGATAATAAGTTATATTTTACAGCCTGACAGCTTTCTAAGTAAAGCACTCTGATTGATTTTCTGTTGACATAATCAATCCTTACTAGGCTTGTATATAGAAAATCTGTAAATTCACTCCATGTTTTAGATATGCCAGTAAGGGAGATTAAAGTACATTTTACACCTCTTGATTAGAAACAATAATTATTTTCCTAATGACAGTTTATGTCATTGACCCTTTTAAACAAGAAAAATGTATGTAAAGGGTTATAATAAATTACACAGCTATAAAACTGTTTTGTGATAGATATTGTGAAAGCTTTCATTAGGTTGAAATTTTTGGCCAATTTCATGTTGAAAGCTGTTTGTTATGAGTTTAATATCACAAACCTTTCAAGAATTTGTTCTATATAAAATGAAAAAAGAACCCAAGATCTTGATTAGAATATAGGTTGTTCATCCCAAATCTAAAGATCTAAAATGCTCCCAAATCTGAAACTTTTTGAGTGCCTACATGATGCTCAAAGGAAATACTCTCACTAATCTCAGATGTAATGAGTAAAAATAAATAAAAAACAAAGGAAATGTTCATTGGAATATTTTGAATTTTGAATTTTTCAGTTAGGAATGCTCAACTCTTAAGTATAATGCAAATATTTTAAATTCTGAAAAAATCTGAAATCCAAAACACTTCTGGTCTTAAGCATTTCAGATAAATGTACTCAACCTATATCAGTGTTCTAGGGGAAACGCAAATAAATAGTAGGATTCTTCTCTTATTTTGAGATTTAGTCCACGTGAGGATTTTTTTTTTTTAGAATAATTTGTGGAGGCATGATGGTATATTGAGGATTGGGAACACATCCAAGAAATGTTCAGACCATATAAATAGGAGGCTCAGGGTCAGGCTGTGGAGCCAGAAGATACTTATTTTTTTCCTTAGCTATTACTTCTTACTCTGTTTTCCTAATCTGGAAATCTGTTTTCCAAATCTTAGTTTGAGTTTGGGTCTCCCTCTTTATATCCTAATCTGTGTTGGTAATCAAATTAATTTTTGTGTCAAATATTTTGACTTAGCATTTTTATTTCTTTGTCCAGCAAATACTAGCTGTGGGCTGCCTCTAAAAATGCTGCGGAAGACACCCATATATACCTGTGGCACCTACTTGGTGATGCTGGTGCCTCCTCCAGGGGGATCAGGCAGCTCTGCCACCCGATCTCTTTTTGGTGGAACAAGTGGTTTGTCATCTTTAAAAAGTAAGTGAATTTTACCTGTGGCACTTTCCTCGATTTATCTCAAACTCTGAAATTTAAGGCTCTCCTATTAATTATTTAAAACTTACTTTGTTAAATAGTTGTTTGCAATAGCTCTCTGATAACAAAAAATACCAATTATCAATATAGGCTAGGAAGATTTAACAATATAATTTTTTGTGGATGACATATTAGTATAGTTTTTGAAAACTATTGTCCTGTAAAATTAATAGAAATAATCAGTTCAACAAAGTTTTAGGAAACAAAATAATATTTTGTCACATTATTTACTGATGATATAGCAAGAGATCTACTCACTGTGATAGAATTTCTTTTTTTTTTAGATGGAATCTTGCTCTGTCGCCCAGGCTGAAGTGCAGTGGCATGACCTCAGCCCACTGCAACTTCTGCCTCCCAGGTTGAAGTGATTCTCCTGCCTCAGCCTTCCTAGTAACTGAGATTACAGGCACACGCCACCATGCCCAGCTAATTTTTTTATTTTTAGTAGAGATGGCGTTTCACCATGTTAGCCAGGCTGGTCTCGAATTCCTGGCCTCAGGTGATCCACCCACCTTGACCTCCCAAAGTGCTGGGATTACAGACATGAGCCACCACGCCCTGCGGATAGAATTTCAAAGCTATTAAAATACGTATGCAAAACACCTCCATTTTAGGACACATATACAAAATACTAAGCATAAGACATAGAAAAGCAGATGTGGAAAAATGTATTAATATTTTAAAATATACATATATTTGTATAAGGAGGCACACTACAGTAATTAAAGCAGTGTAATTTTGGCTTCAGAGTGGACACATAATTAAATGGGATAAAGTATAGAATTAAAAAAATGTTCCTCAGGCTGGGGACGGTGGCTTTATTGAGATATAACTCACACACCATAAATTTTACCCGTTTAAAATATACAATTCAGTGGTTTTTAATAAGTTCACAGAGTTGTGCAGTCGTTACCACTAATCTACCCATCACCCCAAAAAGAAACCTCATACTTATCAACAGTTGCTCTCCTACTCCCTGACCCCTGGCATCTACCAATCTACTTTCTGTCTCTGTGGAGTTACTTTTCATGTAAACGGAATTATACAACATACGGCCTTTTATGGCTGCTTTTTTGTTTGTTTATTTGCTTGATTTTTAATTTTTGATTTTACTTGATAGTAGCAAAATACCACTTATTATTTTGTCTCATTCTGTGCATATTATGGTGGCTGAGCTATGAATAAAATCAGGAGGAGCTATAAAAGTAGACAGACATGTAAAAATCTTGTTTCTTCCTTTTAGTAACTATTATCTTGGGAAAATTAATCATTCAAAGCCTCAACTTTCCCATTTAAAAAAATGTGCAGATGATTATACCTACCACATAGGATAGTGTGAGGACACTTGACACATTATGGAGAGTTCTATATAAATATAGAATCATTTTTCCCTCTATGTAAATATAGTTGAGGATTGTGTCAACTGGAGAGCTGTATGATGTGAGAAGAGATGGAGAGTGTTCTCTACTCATGCACAATTCCACCCTCGCTTGTGGATACTCCTTGCTGTAGTGGGCTTGGTCTCCAGGAAGAAAGTACATGGAATGAGGTTTTCTCCTTAGTGCTTGCAAATGTGCATTTGTTACTGGACACCAGTGATCCTAGATCTTTCTCAGTCTTTAGCCATGGAATCACTACGTGGTTACTGAGGCTCAGACAGGTGAAGTAATGTGGTCCAAGTCTCTTGACACCAGATCCAGCTCTTTTTCATTGGTTGCAAGTTGTTCTATGCATCAGTTACACATTGCTGGGGAGGCCTTAGGAAACTTACAATCATAGCAGAAGGCAAAGGAGAAGCAGGCATCTTCACACGTTGGCAGGATGGAGTGAGTCTGTGACTGTTTTTTAAACTTAACATAATGTTTTTGAGGTTCATCCATATTACAGCATGAATCAGTACTTCATTACTTTTTATGGTTGAATTATATTTCATTGTGTAGATAATATCCCATTTTGTTTATCCATTCATAAGTTGGTGGACATTTGAGTTGTTTCTACTTTTTGGCTATTTTGAATAATGCTGTTACGAACATTAGTATATCAGTTTTGTGTGGACATTTTTCATACTATGGGCGCATACATAGGAGTGGAATTGCGGGGTCATATGGTAAGTATATGTTTACCCTTGGAGGGACTGCTAAACTGTTTCCCAAAGTGGCCATACCATTTTACGTTCTCATCTCCTAAGTATAATGGTTCTATTTTCTCTACATCCTCGCCAACATTTGTTATTTTCCGTTTTTCTGATTATAGCCATCTTTGTGGATATGAAGTGGTACCTCATTGTGATTTGTGCATTTCCTTAATGACTAATGATGCTTAGCATCTTTTCATGTGCTTATTGGCCATTTGTATATCTTCTTTGGAGGAATATTTATTCCTCCAAAGTCTTTTGTCCATTTAAAGATTGGGTTTTTTGGCTGGGCGCAGTGGCTCACGCCTGTAATCCCAGCATTTTGGGAGGCCGTGGCGGGCGAATCATGAGGTCAAGAGATCGAGACCATTGTGGCCAACATGGTGAAACCCCATCTCTACTAAAATACAAAAATTAGCTGGGCATGGTGGCACGTGCCTGTAGTCCCAGCTACACAGGAGGCTGAGGCAGGAGAGCTGCTTAACCCAGGAGGTGGAGGTTGCAGTGAGCCTAGATCGCGCCACTGCACTGCAGCCTGGCGACAGAGCGAGATTCTGTCTCTAAATAAAATAAATAAATAAATAAATAAAGCAAAGTAAAAATTGGGTTTTTATGTTATTGACCATCAGTCTTTTTTTTCCCCTCTTTTTTCCTACTATTACCGCATATTATGACCATTGGTCTTATTAAATTGTGTTTAGTCTCCTTGGCATGGCTTTTTTGCTCAACTGAAATTGACCCCACTGAATTAAAGTGGGTCTTGATGGTACCATTCTTTAATGAGGATATAGCTTACACAGTGATTCTACTTTAGCGAAACAAACCAGTAAATGCTTAAATTCCTTCTATGTCATGAGGTCAAGAGATCAAAACCATCGTGGCCAACATGGTGAAACCCCATCTCTTCTAAAATACAAAAATTAGCTGGGCATGGTGGCGCATGCTTGTAGTCCCAGCTACACAGGGGTGTTCCTCTTTGGCTACTGTGGGGGCTGCTCAGAAAGTGGAAGAATTGGTGCTTGCCTTTAACAACTCATAGTCTAGTTAGGAGAGATGACGTAGATGTGTGAGACAATGAGAAAATGATAGACAGTGCTGCATCCCTGCTGGAAGGATCCACGTGGAGCAGATTTGTGAGCTGCAGAATCTGAGAAAGGAAGGTTCATTGTGGAGTGGGGTAGAAAGGAGAGACTTCATGAGGTTTTGAGTTTAAGCCATAAAGAACGGGTATTATTCATATAAGTGGCCAAGTGAGGAGAAAACATATGTATGTTAAGTACCATGAAAAGAGATTTGGAGATCTATTTTCTACTGTCCCATTTTGTTTAATGGGACAGTAGAAAATAGAAAAAAGAGTATCATTTATGTTATAACTCAAGTTAGGCATGATGCAGATCTGGGCTACTAGGGTGATGAGAATATGAAAAAGAAGCAAACTTGAGACACAGTGCTAAAGTTTTGTTTGAAAATGGGGAAGAAAATAAAATCAGTGATAGCAATTAATGTATATATATGCTGGTGTGGATCCTTGACATATTTTAACTCATTTACTCTTTACAATAACTGTATAAGGTAGGTACTTTTATTATTTCCACTCTAGAAATGAGGAAACTGAGATGTTCAATGTCTTTCCCAGGGCCACCCAAAAGTGTTAGAGCTGGAATTGAAACTCCGAAGCCCAGAGTCCATGCTCTTTACCACTGCACCATCCTGTGTTAAGGGAAAAAGTCAAGGTGTATTAGGAAAGATTGCAGCTAAGTGTACACCAAGCTTTATTGAACACTGACTAACTGCAAAGTGTTTCTTGTAAACATTTTCATCTTGTGATTTAGTGATGATAACCCCTCTTGCAATTACCCTTTTGATAATGTGTATCAGAAAGAACCATCATGCAAAAGGTGCCGTTTTAAAAACACTTTGAAAACTATGGTTCAATGTTAAATTTAGGAAGATTTCTGGTGGTGACAGTTTTCTTTCTGTGGTCTTATGCATGTATTCTCCATCCCTTTACCACCAATTACCACCAATATGCAACAACAAGAAAGGGGTGTGATTTTTATAAAAATTTTGTTAAAAGCCTAAAATTTAAACTTTGAAAATAATCTTCAGGCTCATTAAACAGCTTAATGTTTGTTTCCAAAGTCCTAGCCTCCAGCTTGGTGTATAATATTTCGGATGGTCAGTTTACAAGTCGTGCAGATCTCATAGATGCTGCTGGAAGCTCACTGGGGCGTGGTGCTCTCGTACCAGGATTGGGTAAGAAATAAACGTGCACATTTCTTCGGAAAATTTAAAGTTTTAGCAAATTTCTCTTGAACTATCTTGCCAGTTCCCTGTGGCATTCTTGTTTCCTTGAAAAGAAAGACGTTTTTTGTTTTGTTTTGTTTTTTTGAGACAGGGTCTCTTCTGTCACCTAGGCTGGAGTGAAGTGGTGCGATCTTGGCTCACTGCAGCCTCCACCTCCTGGGCTCAAGCAGTCCTCCCATCTCAGCCTCCTGAGTAACAGGGACTATAGGAGTACATCACCATGCCCAGCTAATTTTGTTTATTTTTTGTAGAGCCAAGGTCTCACTATGTCACCCAGGCTGATCTCAAACTCCTGGGCTCAAGCAATCCTCCTGCCTCGGCCTCCCAAAGTGCTGGGATTACAGGCATGAGCCATTGTGCCCAGCCAGAAAGAATTTTTTTAATATTAAATTTTAATTTTGGGAATGAGTATAAGAAATTGCCATATGTAAAATTCCTCTGAGTAAACTGCAATTGAAGATACTGTTTATTAGGTTGTGCGATAATGCCTATAAGAAATTCTCAAGGTTTATGCCATGAAAAGTTTATTTCCTGTGAGGAATTGGTATACCTGTTATTGCTAGAAAATGAACATTAAGTAATATTCTGGATTTTCTCTTTGCCCTGGGTAGTAGGAAGCTTATTTCTAAGTTTTAGGCTCAGTTATTGGGGCTTTTTACTGTGTATTAATATTAATTGGTTTATTATACCTGGGTTTTTAATGTAAGACACTTAAATCCTTTTTGGAAGTAGGTCACAGATAAATCAGTTACTAAGAGCTCTCTATTTTGTGAGACTTACTCCTTCTCACACAGGAGTTAAGCAAAATTAAAAATTAAATGCTGGCTTCTTGCCGAGTCCCCACCTAGTACCTTGCCAAGTAAATCTATGGGACTAGGGATGTGGGTTGTCAACATTAGAGAGCATCCTTGCCCTTCCACTTTGTAGCAGTGCTTGTGAGAAATATGTATACCGGTAGCTGGTGGCATGATGATTGAATACAGTATGCTCTTTTTGCAGGAGCATGTTATGACACAGTGAATAACATGCTATGGACATGCTCAAATGACTATATTGATCAGTGGTGTAACCCTGGGAATCAAGCCTTCCATTATGTCTGCCAGAGACTTGGAGTCAGTCACATTATCACTGAGCCCAAAGGTGAGGTGCATTCAGGGTCTTGCAGGAAAAGATTTCCTTCTGAAATATGAGAGAATACCACAGCATTTGTAGGTGAAAACATAGCCCAACCCCAGAATGTGTCCCCAGTTTTCCCTCTTTGAACTTTTGAAACCTAAAGTCCTTTGTTCTCTGTAACCATGAAAGATGAGTTATGATTAAGTGAATAAGTATGTAAATAAATAGAGCTTTTGAGGTGGTCAATAGACTTTTTTAAAGGAAAATTGTTATGTCCTTCCTGAAATTGTTGGAACTTTGTTGCAAAAATTATTTGTATTTGGCATGGGATTGTATACTGTTGTAATGTTTTGCATTGATAATGACTTATTTATATACAGACTTAGATGGAATTACCAGTGAAGGACCTTTGTATTTTTTAATATTAATATGAACATTCTTAATATTAAGTTAATATTAACTTAAAATCTTGTGGCTTTAAAGTCAACTATGCTAATATGGAGGAATTAATCACTCAGCAAGTCCCCTACCCATAAAGCAACACTAAAACAGGTAATTATCAAAAACAACTATTTCCAGGCTCTGGAAATTGCCAAGGCATACACCAAATTGAGAGTTGTTATTCATTTTAAAAAGCCCTGAACTTTGGGTACTAGAACTGCTCCGATCCTCCACCTCAGTCTGCTGTGGGAGAATTACTGTGCTGACCACCTCAAGCTTGGTCAGCATAATAATTCTCTCAGGGTGGGGAAGACTGTGAAAAGCAGCAGCTTTGCTGCCAGAGGGGGCTGACTTGATAGGGAGCAGAGCGTGGAAAAACCTCATGTCCAGTAGCATTGTCAGTAACAGTAGTCATCTTGGTGGCAAACAAACAGAGACCTGTGGCTCAGCAGGCCTTAGATCTTGATCCCAGTTAGGGCAAGCAGTGGCCCAGCCGACTAGCTAGAAGTTTACTAGTGAGATCTGGGTAGTGAGAAAGCTGTGGGGGACCACACGCCTACACAGAAGAGGCCTAAGACAGCCTAAGCTACTTGCACAATTCTGGCGAAACATGAGTCTGCATACACATGCAAAGATGTGAGAGGGCCCAACAGGAAGCAAAAACCAGAGCAGAGTTTAAAACCCTGTGAACTTTGCTGCACTTCCCCCAAAACACACAGATCCATCCAGGGTGAAAGTGTTACTGGCTCAAGGTGTTGGAGTACAATCATTGGTTGACAACCACTAAGGAATACAGATAGGGGTGACCCCTAGGAAGCCAGGCTGAAAAAGAAAAACAAGAATAATTAAAAATAAATGGAGCTGGGCGTGGTGGCTCACGCCTGTAATCCCAGCACTTTGGGAGGCCGAGGTGGGCAGATCACCTGAGGTCAGGAATTCGAGACCAGCCTGGCCAACATGGTGAAACCCCATCTGTACTAAAAACACATAAAAATTAGCTGAGCATGATGGCAGGCGCCTGTAGTCTCAGCTACTTGGGAGGCTGGGGCAGGAGAATCACTTGAACTGGGAGGCTGAGGTTGCAGTGAGCCTTGATCACGCCATTGCATACCAGCCGGGGCAACAAGAGTGAAACTCCATCTCAAAAAAATAAAATAAGATAAGATAAAATAAATAAATAAATAAATAAATAAATAAAAGAAAGAAAGAAAGAAACAAGTATTTGAGAAAATAAACTGAGCAGAAAAATCAGTAACCACGCAATGCAGGAGAAACGCAGATGTTGGACTAATGACTTTAAAGTCAGATGAAGACTTAAAGCAGCCGTTATAAATGCATTTAAAGAACTAAAGGAATCCAAGTTTAAAAAAATCAAAGGTAAATATGATGACTATGATCAAGCAAATTGAGAATTTCAGTAAAGAGATTATTTAAAAACAACAACAACAACAACAAGAAAATGGAAATTCCGGGTTTGAAAAGAAGAATTCAGTAGAGTGGCTCAACAGCAGATTTGAGCTGCTGGGAGAAGAAAGCAGCAAACCTGGACCATAGATTGGTAGAGTTGTTCTGTCTGAAGAGCAGAACAGGACACCTGGGGAGTACTAGTCAGACGTTTGTAGAATAGAATGTCCTTCCCTGTGGGTTCATCTGATGCTTTCTTATGGTTAAACTGAAGTTATGGATTGGGGGAAGAATACCACAGAAGCGATATCCCCTTCACATTACATCTATTCCAAGGTACATGGTATTGACATGACTTATTACTAGTGATAATAAAAACTGATCACTTGGTTTAAATGATATCTGCCAGGTTTCTTCACTATAAAATTACCACTTCTCCCTTTCAATACTCTGTTAGTCTCAACCACACTGAAGGGAAGGGTAATTAAGCTCCACCTCCTAGAAAAAGTGTATCAGAGAACTTGTAGACTTGGTCCTTCAGAGGACCAAAGCCAGTTCATGTGGATAGACGAATGTTTATCAGCACAGTAATTATTATCTCTAGGGTCAGTTTTTTTTCTCAGCTTTCACTCTCGAATTTGGTGTTTGTGTAAATTTACTAAAACTTGGTGAGTTGTGCATTTAGAGTGGGCGAGTTTTATGGAATATAAATTATATCTTGATAAAGCTATTTTTTTGAAAAAGCAAAAAGTAGAAAAGAAAGTCCACTTTGTATTACTGACTCACAAGCCTCTTGCCTGAACGCCAGACTATGGATTCACTTCCACTTGGTTATCTAATGGGCATCTTCAGCTTAACATGTCAAAACATGAGGAACTATTTATAGACAGGGGTTCTAATATGGAGCAGCCATAGGATATGGAGAGGTTTTACTAGAGTGGTTACCAGCAGGGGTTACCTCAGGGGCTGTGGACTGAGGTGGCCTGAATCCAAATCCCGGTTCTACCACTTCTTAGCTATGTGACCTAGGGCAAGTTCCTTAACTTCTGTGACTCTTGGTTTATTGCTCTACAAAACAGGGCTAAAATAGTCTAAGTTGAGAACCATGTAAAGCATTCAGCCCATTCTTCAGCATATAAAAAGGGCTCAGTAAGTGGTAGCTACTTCCGTTCCAAACAAATGAACTCCTGAAGTGTTTTCACCCCAGCACCTGTGGCAGGGAGAAGGGTTCTCTGGCAGCAGTGAAAGAGATTATAGCCAAAATACCCTTTCCTAGTGTGCACACACCTTTTGTATGTCAGAGGTCTGTTCTTTGGGGACCACCCATAGAGATGTCTTTCCTCACTCAGTTTCCTTTTCATCTTCTAGAAGAGGCTATAACCACGAATGAGGTTATAAACCAATTATTGCACCACGTTGGTGCGATGTGCATACACCAACTTAATCTTCTTGCCACCAACCCCAATCTTCCAATCACAAGTGTCTTGGGCAAGCAGCATCCAATTGAAGCACACCATCTTAGCAGTATTTGTGACATTATGGAGAAGGCCATGGTTAATGGAGATACCTGTATTATACGCTGCATTCTCGTTGTCTTTCAGGTAAATACATTGTTTGGAGATAAATAAGATGATAGAGAAAAGGAAACGCAAACCTTGGCTTCAGCCAGTTCATTTTTACCAGAAGAAAAATTTAATGACTTTCCTGTTCTGTATCCTACCACCTTCTAATCCTGTAGTTAGAATTATCGTATTCATTGCACTGTGATTAATGGAGTATTGCTATACATAGCTTATTACAATTAATATATGCAAAATATTTACTATAATTATACCATTACACAATAGAAGAGATTGTGGTTAAAAAAAATCCACCTGGTTTATTTGTTCATAGGGTATCTACCATGTACTTTCTTTGTAGGGATAATTTTATCCCCAGTAGAATTAGCATTTTTAGATAGTCTCCTTATGTTTCTGTAGGTGGTATTTAAATTTTTCTTCAGCCCACAAACTGAAAGGAATCGAGACATCATTCGACGGTCGGGATTGCTTCTTTGGCAGTTGTTGATGGCACCAAAAGATCAAATTTGCCCTGAGATTCAGAAGGAAGTCTGCCTTGCCATCAGGTAAACAGCTAATGATTTTCGTAGTGCTCTCTGCAAAATGGTTCTTCTGCAAGGCATTGTAATCCTCCCTGAAAGCTGGTAGTATAAATGCCTCTTACCCCATCCCACAGTCAGGACCTCATAGATTGGGGATAATTTCACTGAAGAGGGGTTTGTAGCCCCACCTGTAGAGGACCAAAGCCAACTGTGTACTTGCATTTCCTTATCTCACTGTTTGGATCTAAAAAAAAAAAAAAAACCCTTTAAGTGGATATTTTGATTATTTGCAGGCTGATGTTCTCATTTTGCAGAGTGTGGCAGCGTGGTTAAGAAGCAGGCTTTGGCAACAGGCAGATCTGGGTTCTAGACTTTGCCACTCACTAGTGTGACCTTGGTTTAAGGTTCGCATTTCCTTAGCTGTAAGATGAGCATAAAAATAGCACCTATTTTATGGGTCTGTGAGGTTTTCCTAAGGTAAGGCCTGATGCAAAGTAAGTGCTCAAAAATGCAAGTCTTTATCAACCTGTTTAAAGCTTTTGAGACAAGAGAGCAGAATTTATAGGCCATTTTCTATTTCTTGTCAGTCTTTTTTTGTTTTTTTTAGTTCAGTGAACTTTTTTTCTTTTTGCTTTTTTGAGACAGAGTTTTACTCTTGTTGCCCAGGCTCGAGTGCAGTGGTGCGATTTCAGCTCACCGCAACCTCTGCCTCCCAGGTTCAAGTGATTCTCCTGCGTCAGCCTCTCAAGTGGCTGGGATTACAGGCACCTGCCACCACGCCTGGCTAATTTTTGTATTTTTAGTAGAGATGGGGTTTCACCATGTTGGCCAGGCTGGTCTCAAACTCCTGACCTCAGATGATCCACCCACCTTGGCCTCCCAAAGTGCTGGGATTACAGGTGTGAGCCACCATGCCTGGCCTCAGCAAGCTTTTATACAGGAATACAGCCTTAAAGTGACTATAACTATAATTTAGTTTCCAAGAGAGAGCTGAATGGTTGATCTGAAAGATCTATATGACAGGGGTGAGCATAGATGACAGGAAGTTGTTTTCCTTCCACAGCGCATTATGCTTCAAATCTCTTTCTGTGGAGCATTAAGGCAGTGATTGAAATCTGGTGCTCTGAGGAAACTTTTGGAGAGGATGGATATATTCACTATCTTGATTATGGTGATGGTTTCTTTGGTGTATACATATGTCAGACTTATCAGATTGTACACTGTAAATATGTGCACTTGATTAAATGTTAAACCTCAATTAAAAAAGAAAAGAGGCTAGCCGGGCGCGGTGGCTCACGCTTGTAATCCCAGCACTTTGGGAGGCCGAGGCAGGTGGATCACCTGAGGTCAGGAGTTCAAGACCAGCCTGACCAACATGGAGAAACCCCGTAAAAATACAAAATTAGCCGGGGTAGTGGCACATGCCTGTAATCCCAGCTACTCGGGAGGCTGAGGCAGGAGAATCGCTTGAACCCAGGAGGCGGAGGTTGCGGTGAGCCGAGATCGCGCCATTGCACTCCAACCTGGGCAAAAAGAGCGAAACTCTGTCTCAAAAAAAAAAAGAAAAGAGGCTGAATGCGGTAGCTCATACCTATAATCCCAGCACTTTGAGGGGCCATGGCAGGAGGATCGCTGAGGCCAGGTTTGAGACCAGTCTGGGCAACATAGTAAGACCTTGTCTCTACAAAAAAATAAAAATAAAAACAAAATTAGCCCAATGCCCTGGCAAGCACCTGTAGTCCCAGCTATTTGGGAGACTGAGGTGGGAGGATCACTTGAGCCTGGGAGGTCAAGGCTGCAATGTGCCGAGATCACACCACTGCACTCCATGCATTCCAGCCTGGGCGACAGTGAGATCCTATCTAAAACACACACATGCACGCACACACACAAATAAATTAATGAAAAGAAAAAAGATTCTGATGCCATTTGCAATGTTGTTCTTCCCTTCTCTTTGAAAAAGCTGAGAATTAGCAATTTACTTTCTTAATTGTTTTTTTGGGGAGGCACAATTGGTATATGTAGGCTTGACTACATTGACTTTTCATAGCTTACCAATTCTTTTTAACCAGTTCTGCATCTAACCCCAAGTAACTTATTTTGGTAATTCACAGGAAGAGGAGGAGAGGGATGACATTTATCAGGGAAGTGATTGGACTGTATCGTGACAGTGAATTTAGATTCAAATGCCTTTTTAGGCCAGGTGCAGTAGCTCACACCTGCAATCCCAGCACTTTGGGAGGACAAGGCAGGTGGATCGCTTGAGCTCAGGAGTTTAACCTGGGCAACATATTGAGACCCTGTCTCAAATTTTTTTAATGCCTTTTTAGTGATAAAAGTTTTTTCACAGTTTTATATAATCAAATTGACATCTTTAATAAAAATAAGAATTTAAATATTTAGAGTTTTGATTTTCTAGAATTTTTGCTTAAATGTTTTTGACTTTTTTGTCATTTCAGCTCTGGTTTAAATATCTTGTACCCAGGTGAAACTGAAATCAATAACTTACTTAAACTGGTCTTAACAGAAGGTAAGAATTATCCTTTAATTATCTTTGAACAGCTGTCCTTTTTTTGTCCCCAAAGAAACAACTGCATATTAAGATAATTGATACTTCTTCATATATGTTAGTCAGCATATTTTAAAAATGTATCTGCAGGCCAGGCACAGTGGATCACACCTGTAATCCCAGCACTTTGGTAGGCTGAGGCGAGAGGATCACTTGACCCAGGAGCTCAAGACCAGCCTGGCCAGCATAGCAAGACCCTGACACTACAAAAAATAAAAACAATTAGCTGGCCATGGTGGCCCATACCTTGTTGTCCCAGCTACTCAGGAGTCTGAGGCAGGAGGATTGCTTCCGCCCAGGAGGTTGAGGCTGCAGTGAGCTATGATGACACAACTACACTCTAGCCTGGGCAACAGAGCCAGACCCTGTCTCAAAAAGAAAGAAAGAAAGAAAGAACGTATCTGCATATATGCTTACATTTCAACCAGATTGAAAGCAAAAACCGTGTTTTATATATCTTCAAGCTGTATAAACGGTCTCCACTGCTTAGCATAATGTATGTGACTATAGATGTTTAACAAATAAAATGATCACTTATTGGTGATTTCTAAGCCACTTGTCTTCACACATTGGAGCCTAACATTTTAAGTTACACTAAACAACACAACAAAAGGTACTGTGTTAAAGACAGTTGGCATTTAAAAGCAATATTAAGGAATGAAAAATCACACTTCATAATATATCAAGAAGGTAATTACACTTTAATCAGGATGCTGGTTAAAAAGTCGGATTCATTGTGATGTCATTTTTGCTGCTTTTATTTGTATAAGTCCGTATGTCTGGTGCCCCTAGCTTGCCGAGAACCTATTTGTTTAAAAACTTTTTAAAAATAGCATCAGTTTTCGAGGAGTCATTACCAGGGTAGTTGATGGAGCTTTGTTCTGTGTTAGGAGAGAGAAACAGTGGACTCTCCCAGCTACGGGATGTGATCCTAACCAACCTGGCCGAACAGCTCCAAAACAACCGATTTGGCAGCGATGAAGATGATCATTACAGGTGACACAAGTTATATTATTCACTCCTAGCCTTTGTGTTCTCAGTCGTTAGTTTTCATTTCAATGTGTTTGATCAACTTTAGTCTCCTGTTATAATTAATATGATCGTTAGCATGTTAAACCTAAAGCATGGACCAGATGAAAGATAATAGATTCTATAGTTCCCCTCAGAACTGATAATTGCACATTTCAGTTTTATCAGTAAAGTAAGTTGGGCTTGGGGAAAGGGTCTTTAGCAAAAATAACAGATGGAACTTATTTAGGAGATCTTGGTTCAGAGTACTGTCCAAATTGCTGGTTTATGAGAAAGGCTGAGTATGTGTGTTAGAGCTGGTGAAGCAGACGAAGGTGTTGTTTTTCTATGTTATTTATAAAATACTTTGACTTTATAGTTGGGTGCCATTTGATTTCTATAAGTTTGATTTAAATAGTGTACCTAGTTATTAGCGTTATTACTAAGGTGATTTGCTTACAGAATCAATTATGTATCTTCTATTTGTCATCTTATACTAATTATATAAAATTTATCCTTTTATGAATAAACCATCAATAAACATTTTTCCTGCACTTTAAAGACTAAATGATGAACTTTTACACTACATTCTGAAGATTGTTGTACGAGAATCCTGTATCTTAATCACCAAGTGCCAAACTGTCTCTAAAGATGATTTTCAAAAGCTCCTTTCAACTGTGCCTGTAAGTAAAAATGTGTTTAATGAAAGCAAAATTATATCAAGCATCCCTGTTTTCATTTTATTGTATTGACAGGTGTGTATATACATACAGACTTAAAATAATTTATGAAAGGCCGGGCGCAGTGGCTCATGCCTGTAATCCCAGCACTTTGGGAGGCCAAGGTGGGTGGATCACCTGAGGTCAGGAGTTCAAGACCAGTCTGACCAACATGGTGAAACCCCATCTCTACTAATAATACAAAAATTAGCTGGGTATGATGGCGCACATTAGTAATCCCAGCTACTTAAGAGGCTGAGGCAGGACAATCACGTGAACCCAGGACGTGGAGATTACAGTGAGCTGAGATCGCGCCACCACACTCCAGCCTGGGTGACAGAGCAAGACTTCGTCTCAAATAATAATAATAATAATTTATGAAAGTCAGTGGATGACCCCTTACCCTAGAAATGTAGACCTAGACAAATGCACTTGAAAAACTTTCCAAAGACTATTCCCCCTGCTTAAATTGCTTGATGCAATAAATTGATCAGATTTGGGGGTTTTTGTTTTATCTAGTGAGAGTGTTTTTCCCTTATTAATTTTTAATTTTACATTGTTTTCTAAACCATGGGTGTTTTATAGAGACCAGTAGGAATCAAAAGATTCTTTTAAGGGTTTGGGTATTCTTCTGTAATGGAGATGTGTGTGAGAGGGAGGAGGAAGGATAATTATTAAGAGGCAAAAATTCAAGTAAGTATTCTAATTAGTGAGGGTTGTGTACCAAAAGGCAGAAAGTTATAGTAAATGTGTCAGAGTATGCATGGAAAGCCATGTGGAAATAAGTCACCTGAAAAACTAACTTGGTCTGTTTTGTGTACTTTCTCTTTTTGTTTTCTTTGTCAAAATCTTTTAAAAACGTGAGGATTACATGATCGCTCTTTCAGTAGGGTTTAGATCATTTAAATGCCCTTATTTGTATTAAAGGCTGCATCCTCCTGCCTGCGCTATCTGATGGCAGTTCAGAATCACCTTCTCAGTAACACTATTTTGATTAAACCTGATGAGAATGATGACAGTGACAGCTCCTTGCAGGGAGAGACATTGAAGGTACAGGTAAACACCGAGCTTTATTTTAACGATGCGTTCTACCCAGTGTGAAAAGCAGCTTAATTGGCTAAATTTCTGTGTATTATGATGTCAGAATTCACCTTGTGGCTTATATTCTTGTGAGAGGTAACATTAGGCCACTCATTCCATAGATTTTTTATGTCATTGCTCAGTAGTCACCTACTTGTGACACTCATAATGTGTCATCCATGTGCTCCTGTCAACCTTTTTGTGCCTTTGTTTACTTCCATCTTCTTTTAAGAACTATAAAATATGGCACTTACAAGTGATCTCATGTGTACCTGAAAGTTATAGTTACATAGACATATATATATGTATGTATGTATAAATCAATCTTGGAGCATTAAATAATTTCAAAATTTTTGATGGTTTATTATATTCTCTTGATTAAAATAACTTTTAAAAGGTGATAATTTTCATAATTTTTGTATGAAATAATCTAATTTCTAAACCTATAGTCAATTTCATTTTCTATAATTATTTTTAAATTAGCTTCTGTGTAAACTCACTAACTTGTTCCCACTTGACAGTTTATAGCAGTCCAAAGATTTTTTTATAGCCGTGGTTGTTATAATTTTGACAGATGCTCAAGGCTGTTGTTTGCATTGTTCTTCAGAATTTCATCTTTGTGGGAGAATCAAAGAAATCAACAAGAACTTTATTCTTTCTTAAAATGTTAAACACACTGAAAAATCAACCAAGGAAGCCATAGTTAAAGATAAAAACCAATGCAGTTTGCCCCTTTCTTACTCCTTCATGCATATATACTATGTAAATCATACATCTGATAGTTTGTACTTATCGTACTTGAGTTTATTTCATTGTATAACCCATTTTCAAATAGGCAGACATACATGCACTTTTAATTTAAGTTGTTGATAATATTTATTTAACTTCTCTTGCCTTAGTTTTCTCATCAGTAAAAAGGGACAATAACATCTTCTTTGTAAAGTTGCTGTATTAACAACAAGCCCTGTAAATACCTGGCACTTTGCTGCCATGTGGTATGGAGTCAGTAGATGATTGTGCATGTCATTAGTGTGACTTAAAACATGATTTGGCTTATCATTAGTTCAGAATTCCTACTCTCTTAATGATAAAAAAAAAATCTCAATAATAGTTATAACAGCTAGGTGTGGTGGCTGACACCTGTAATCTTAGCACTTTGGGAGGCTGAGGCAGGTGGATCACTTGAGGCCAAGAGTTCGAGATCAGCTTGGCCGACATGGCAAAACCCCGTCTCTACTGAAAAATACAAAAATTAGCCAGGCGTGATGGTACTCCCCTGTAATTCCAGCTACTTGGGAGGCTGAGGCATGAGAATTGCTTGAACCCAGGAGGTAGAGGTCGCAGGGAGCCCTGATCACGCCACTGCACTCCAGCCTGGGTGGCAGAGTGAGACTCTGTCTCAAAAAATAACAATAATAATAAAGACCCCGGAAAATTCCAACAATGAGAAAGTTTTTTCTATTTGAAGGCTAAATTTTAGCCTTAGTAGATTCTTTTTTGTTTTTTTGTTTTTTTGAGATGGAGTCTCGCTTTGTTGCCCAGGCTAGAGTGCCGTGGTGCAATCTGGCTCACTGCAACCTCCATCTCCTGGGTTCAAGTGATTCTCCTGCCTCAGTCTCCCGAGTAGCTGGGATTACAGATGTGTGCCACCATGCCTAGCTAATTTTTGTATTTTTAGTAGAGACGGGGTTTAACGTGTTGTCCAGACTGATCTTGAACTCCTAACCTCAAGCGATCCACCTGCCTCAGCCTCCCAAAGTGCTAGGATTATAGGCATGAGCCACCGTGCCTGGCGTAGCCTTAGTAAATTCTTAATTAAACCATAGAGAGAAAGGTAAAGACTCTTAGGAAAGGCTGAATAGGCTCAGTTGTCTAGGTTTCTGGGGAAACATGTCCCCTAAAGAGTTTGTATTTTTTTAACTGAAAATCATTGTAAACTAAACATTTCTATAATGTTAGCTAGTCCTTCTTAACACATTATTTAGTATTTGTACTCCCACGAACTCTGTAATAGTTATTTTAATGTTTAATAGCCTGTAACTGCTTGCTACCTTAATTGAATTTTTTTAACTGCCTGTTTTTAACTGTGATGGCTTTAGGACATTGAGTAAAAGGTCACTTGTACTGTTTCAGAATGTTGTGTTTTTGTCTCATTTTATTCACCGCCTCTACATGCGCATTTTACTGTTCTGTTTTTCTCTTTAGCTATCCTCATACCACCCAAGGCAGTCTTCCACCTGGACAGTTTCTGGGCTGGCCACCAGGAGCTCTCTTGTGCTGGATGGGATGGGAGATATTTCTTGTGCTGGCTGGGATGGGAGCCTTTTCTCCTAGGGACTCAGTGTGATCCCTCTGAAATACTGCGTATTTCTGTCAGCTCTCCAGACCTTGGCCTCCCAATTTGCTACTTGTCATTCTAGCAGAATTTACTGCTTTGGGCTTATTCTGGCCACCTCATTATTTCATTTGGAAATGCATCATTAAATACATCATTTCATGTTGTCATTGTGAACGTATGTTCGTCACAAAGCTTAAAAATAATATGATGATATTTTCTGCCTAGGAGCTAAAAGTCAGTATTTTGGCTCTTGCCACCCAAATCCTGACTGGATGTGATGAAGTGTTGGAAATGCTACAGCAGGTCACAACTGCCCTCATAAATAGTGAAATAGCAGACCGTGAGCAGAGGTAAGGAATGGATGGTGGGCTGTGACCAGCGCCCTGTGGGAAGAAAAATTTGTTTATTGAAATTAAATATTTTTAGAATATAGAAGGATCAATTTTATATAGAGAGATTTTTGTGAGAATAGGCTAAAAGGGCAAGTGTTTGAAAGCCAAGTGCAGTCACACTCTTTCGTGTGCTTTCAGGTGAGATTGGGCCAACAGCCATGATCTAAGGGTAGCGAAGTTGTGGAGGGCACGGCCTAATCTCTGCCACTTGAGACTTCTACTGCCATCACTCCCAAAATGGCCTTTCCTTTAATTATCGAGGTCAGCACCATGCACACTTAGTTTCCTCATGATAAAGACTTTTGGGAGGAATAAGTGACTTGTCAACTGCTACACAAAGGATGACACTGATGTGGTACCTCAAGATTTTACTGTAATTTTACTTCTCCAAATACATGTCTGACCTCTCTTTCACAGTAATAAAGCCCTTTCTCAGCCCTTCACATTAAAATTTCTGCTGTAACCCCGTCTCTACTAAAAATACAAGAAAAAAAAATTAGCTGGGCATGGTGACAGGCACCTGTAGTTCTAGCTAGTGGGGAGGCTAAGGCAGGAGAATGGCCTGAACCCCGGAGGCGGAGCTTGCAGTGAGCCGAGACTGCGCCACTGCACTCCAGCCTGGGCGACAGAGCGAGACTCCGTCTCAAAAAAAAAAGACAAAATTCTGCTCTGGTTTGATTTTAGAGGTGCATTGCATACTGTGTTTTTTGACGATTTGCATATTGGAGCTGTAGATCTAAAAGAATCCTACAGTGTAATTTTTGCTTCCGTAACCCTGTCTGTTCCTATGGACTTGGTTCTTACCCACTCCCAGAGAGCAGATAGGAGGTTGGGATTGAGAACAATATAACCCAGATAGGTTTTGCATTGAGGCTTAGTAATACGTAGTTCAGTCTAATGGGAGAGCCTGGGTTTCTGGTTCCACTACCAATATCCTAAGTAGCCTTAAGGAATTTACATAATCCTTTCTTTCTGCATTCCTTAATTCTTCTAGCAGAGGACAGGGATATTAAAAATGTGATTTTAAAGATAAATTAAAAATTTGCCTACTTAAATGAGTCAAAATCATAGAGACAGAAAGTAGAATGGTGTTTACCGGGGGCTGGGGGCAAGGGAAAAATGAGGAGTTATTGCTTAATGGGTATAGAGTTTGGGTTTTATAACACAAAAAGAGTTGTGGAGATGGATGATGGTGATGGTTGCGCAACATTATTTAATAACAGTGAAATGTACCCTTAAAATGGTTAAGATGGTAAATGTTATGCTATGTTTATTTTACCGTAATAAAAAAAAATTGGGGGAAGAAATCTGCCTGCTTCTGCATGCCCCAGACAAGCCTCAATTTCTCTAGACCAGTAATGGATGTCACAGCTCTGGGCAGGTGAATCAATGTTGTAGCCATTCACTTCCTTTTTAGAGTCACTGTGTAGCATAGTGACCAGCAGCCCCAGAGGCAAGGGAACTTTACAGGTAGTAACCATTGGCATTTTAGAATCCATTTGTAAAGTACTTCAAAGGTGCTATGAAATGCACCATGCAGCAACCTAGAACCTAGAACCTAAGTGGTTCATACACCTGTAATCCCAACAGTTTGGGAGGCCAAGGTGGGAGGATCACTTGTACCCAGGAGATCAAGGCTGCAGTGAGCTGTGATTGTACCACTGCACTCCAGCCTGGGTGACAGAGTGAGACCCTGTCAAAAAAAAAAAAAAAAAAAGGCAGCTTATAAATTTTTTGGCAAAAATCAGAGACTGAAGGTGAAATCTATTAATAGCTTTCTTTCTGTTCTTCCCCTCTCCCTCAGTGGCAGAAGGTGGAAAATCTGTGGACTGAATTGCTATCACTGAAAGTGCTTAAGTGGTTTAAGGAGGTGCAGTTTAGGAGAAATTGTCAGATAAAGATGACATTAGTGCTTCTTCACATGTTTGGGCATTGCTTAGGCTGTGTGTTTTTCTTGAACTTTTTGTAGGTTAAAAGGCTTGGAACAAGTTACTAAGGCTACTATGCTTGGTCACCTTCTTCCAGTGTTACTGACCTCCCTGATGCATCCAAATTTACAGACTCTGATTATGGCCGATGCCCTGATGCCTCAGCTAGTGCAGCTGGTACTCTATACAAGCCAGGTATGATCCTTGGTGTGCCAAAGTGAACTGCTTTTTGGCCAACCTGCTTCACAAGGTGGCTGTTTGCTTTCACTGAAGGCAGAATAAACATAATCCTGCCTTTCAGAAACCAAGGGAAATAATGATGGAATGAAGAAAAATATTGTGTCATAAAAATAAACAAATAACAAGGGAAAGCATTTTATTTGTTTGACTAAATTACTAACTGCAATCTTTTAGCAAGTGTTCATGACTGATCAGCTATAAAAATGCTAATATACAATGCTACTAAAAACCTACCATTATAGTTTGTCTCCTGAGTCCTTGCCAGCTAATAGTAGCTAATATAAATGATGCATTCCATTCTAGCGTTAAGTAAAATAATATTAAGTTGTCTAAGTAGCACAGCATATCTTAGTGAAGGAGAGCCGACTAGGATTGTAAAAAGATGATTTAAGAGAGATCTCTAAGTTTGGCTCTCATACCATGTAGATAACTGACAGTAGCACTGGAAGATATAATGATGGTTTTTGTGTTTCAGACGGCTTTGCTGCTTAAAACCCAGTGTCCAGTTTTTGCTGAGGTGGGCTGTTCCCCGTGTGGTGCACCAGACCAGAAGTGCAGGCTGTTCCCTGATGAGAGGTAATGAATGCTGCTTCCTTTCAGGAACCTTTTTCTTGTTTTCTTCTGGTGAAAGCCTAGTACTCCTTTTATGAAAATGATTTTTAGCAAGGATTATCTATGTGAAAAGAAAAAGACTTCGAAATGAAAATTTTAGATAACTGTAACATTGCTTTGTAGATTTACAGCAACTGGTTAGAATAAATTTCCCCATGGAGCAAGAGATTAGTTCAAAATTGATCTGAAATTCTTATATGCTAACAGTGGGGATGTAAAATATTATGACTTTGACAGGCAGTTTGGCTGTTTCTTTTTTTTTTTTTTTCTGAGACGGAATCTTGCTCAGTCACCCAGGCTGGAGTGCAGTGGCTCATCTCAGCTCACTGCAACCTCTGCCTCCTGGGTTCAAGCAATTCTCCTGCCTCAGCCTCATGGGTAGCTAGGATTACATACGTATGCCACCACACCCAGCTAATTTTTGTAGTTTTTAGTAGAGACGAGGTCTTACCATGTTGGCCAGGCTGGTTTTGAACTCCTGACCTCATGATCCACCCACCTCGGCCTCCCAAAGTGCTGGGATTACAGGCGTGAGCCACCGCACCCTGCTGGCTGTTTCTTAAAAACTTAAACATACACCTATTGTATGACTGAACTATTTCACTTTTAGGTATTCACACAAGAAAAGAAAGCATAGGTTCTTACAAAGCTTTTACATTAAGGTTCGTAACAGTTTTGGTTAGAAGAGCCCAAAACTGGAAACAGCATAAATGTCCATCTGGAAATAACATGAATGCCCATCAATAGGTGAATGGATAAGCAAATTGTGATGTAGTCATACAATGGACTCTAATCAGCAATAAAAAGGAATGAACTATTGTTATATACAACAGTGTGTATGTAATCTCAAAATACTTAACCCTGAATGAAAGAAGCCACGTCCCCTTAGGTCACGTACTATATTATTTCATTTATATAAAACTCTAGAAAATGCAAACTAATCTCTAGTGACAGCAAATAAATGATCACCTGGGGGAGAAATGGAGTGGTTACAAAGAGGAAGAAGGAAACTTAATGGTATAACAAATGTCCAAACTTATCAAGTTGTATGCTTTAAATATGTGCAATTTATTATGTCAATTATGTTGCATTAAAGCTGTCTTTTAAAAAGATTTCCTGGGTTTCTCTAGAGCAGCGGGCTATGGAATTGAGCTTTTCGCAGTGATGCAAACTTCTATCTGTGCTGTCTAGTTCCATAGCCACAGGTTGTTATTGAGCGTCTGCAGTGTAGCTAATGTGACTGAGGAGCTGAATCGTAAATTTTATTTCATTTAAATTCAATTTAATTGAAATGGCCACATGTGACTAGTAGCTACTGTATTGGACAGTAAGGCTCTGCAGCTCAAGCTTCAGAGTTGAAAGAATAAGAGAATTCTGTGGCAACTAAGTTTAAGTCTTAGGAGTTTGTATTCCGCAACCTCAGGCTCCATGCTGTCCTTGAGAGTTCAATTACAGTAGGTAAGAGAACCTTTGAAGGCACCTTTCCTTAGTAAAAATTACGGTGAAAAGTAGCTATGTAGACTCTTGGAGTTTTCAGCAATTGGCATGTAGATATCAACAAAAGGAAATTTTTACAGGATGCTAACCCTGTGGGATTTGCAAAGTGGCCAATCTTAAAGATCCTTTACAGTACCTTTTTTTTTTTTCCTGAGTACATTTAAATGAGAGTTGATCAGGTCTTCTCTTGGATATCAATTGGGCTTCTCCCTTGAGAAAAAGAAAGAAAAATGAAAATATATCTCTGCTTCTTGTCCTAGAAAAAGGCAAAAAAGAAAAAAAAAAGCAAATAGAATATCTAACAACAAAGAAAGAAAAAACCTTTAAATGTGGGAATTTTTAAAATGTTTCTGATTGCCACTGATATCAAGCATGTAAAAGCCTCAGTGTTATCATACTGCATGCTGTGGAAAATTAAAGAGCAATTTAATGTTTATATTGTTTTTCCTTTCCTTGGCTGCTAAGCTAAATCACTTTCTCTATTTCTGTTTAGAATGTTAGAAGAGAAGGAAGAGCCAGGATTTCTCACTGGTTTAAAGATTCCTGCCCCATGGGCTGCTGGAAAGACTGTGGAAACAGTCCACCCCGTCAGAGACAACTATAAATTTAAAGAAACGGTCCATATCCCAGGAGCTCGCTGCCTGTACCTTAGATTTGATAGCAGATGCTCTTCACAATATGACTATGACAAAGTAAGTAAGAACTGGGTTATTATTGGTTCCACCTCAAGTAAGCTGATTCTTAGATGCTTCTTATTTTTCTTTGCTGCTGGTCACCATTCTTGACTGATTTCTGTCTGTAGCTATCTCTAAGGAGAACTTTTCTAAGATAAAGTTCTTATCTTTGAAGGGTAGTGATTTAAGGAAGTTAAAGAAACACCACCTCTGCAGTCTAAGAACAGTGTTTTAATGATATGTTGAAAGTGTACTTTGTAAGCTTTCAGGTGCTTAGATGTGAGTGGAAGGAAATGTTCCTTTTCATTCTGCTTACCCCTGCCCTCCCTCTGTGCTTGAAGTTCTCCCAGATGTGTGATGTCCATTCATCTAGAAAGGTCTCACTGCCCAATTCTTGGGGCTTCTCATGTGTCTTTTGGGAAAAGGTGGCTTTTTAGAAGGGTTTCAGAGGTGCTAGGATCTGGTTTATATTTATTTAAACTTTTTTTTTTTTTTTTTTTTTTTTTTTGAGGAAGAGTAGTTTCCAACCTCGTGGCTTAACAGTTATGAACAAAAGGAAGCATCTTAGGGGTTGAAACATTTTCTTCCACTTAGAATTATTGAATTGTAACCTGTCATGTGGTCTTAGGGGGAAAGGCTAATGAAATATGTAACATATGAAAGAACAGCTGGAGGATTATCTAATAGCTTTGTGCATACTATTTTTATGTAGCTTGTTAGTGATCTATTGTGTCTCTCTCCTGTGAACTGTGTGAGGGCAAATGGGCTTAAATCCTAGCAGGGGATTCTGACTTCTGTGGCTGGCTTTTAAAAACATTCTATCCGGGGAGGTTTTTAGGTTAAAAATAAAGGACTTCTTAACTGTATATACTATGAGATGGTGAAACACATTTCTGGGCAAGTTATAGAATCCTCTTCCCCATTATCTTTTAGGATAGTGAAGATTCCCAGGTGTCACCAAAGCCTTGTCCTCAAAACTCACCTTAGCTGGAACCAAGAAAATATATGAGATGATCTTTAGTAGGCCTTTCAGAAACATATCTCCTACCATCAGTCCACTGTAATTCATAGCTCCTGGCATTGGCTACCCCCATTTCCCAGGTTCAGGTGAAGTGACTTAATATAGAAATGGGGGAGTCTGCTGTTTTAGTTGGTGTCATTTTGTTTCTCCTTTAAAAACCGTATTTTGCATTTCTGATATGCGCTAACTTATGCCTGCAGTAGACATTAGTGTTAAATGATGAAGCACAAAGAGGCTTACTACATGGATGAAAGTACATTTACTTTTCCAGTGGTCCCTGGCTGGTGTCAGCAAAAGGCCCCAAAGGGTAAGACATCACAAAATGATAAGCATTCAGGGCTGAAGATGGAGCTTCTAAATCTGAAGTTAGATGCAGTGAGAAGCAGTCACAGCACACATTAGAAGACAGGGTTTGGTATTTACAGAAGCCAGAGCTTTATTTTTCCTGTGGAATGCCAAATGAGCTATAAATGTTTCTTCTGCCGATTAGAAAGTCAGCTAGCTGGTTATACATTAATTAGAGAAGTATTGATACATGAAAACTGACCCAAGAAGCAGCCGCCCCCTTTCTGGCCCAAATTTGTATCATTTTCTTTTTATACCATTAAGCAACATCCTAAGAATATATGGCTTATTTTCAATTTGTTGCATTTTTTTAAATTCTTATTTATTCATTGATTTTTTTCTTTGGTGCTTTTATTTGTTGTTCTGTTAGATATAATCATATTTCCATCTGTATTTGCTCACTTTACTAATTTTGGGGAGGACTTAAGGGGCCAAACTGTTATTAATGAGTTATATGTTATTAATTAGCATTAAAATAACTATTTCAAAAATAATTGATGTATAATAGCTGAGTATAACTATTTAATGTGAGGTCCCCAAGCCAATTAAAGTGTGCTAATATAAAAAATATACTTCTTTTTATTAAGAATTGTTATTACTCTGTGGCTTCCCTGTAAATACCAATGACTGATTGCATCCAAACTAGTATCAGTTATACCTAAAAAAATCAGGAAATATTAGTTATAATGACACCAATGCCTGGTTATAATTGTATTTTGAACAATTTTTTTTGCAGCCTTTTTATTTGTAGATGTTGTTTTTGTTTTTCTTTTACAGTCTAACAGTATATTTTCTGTTTTGAAGTTGGTGATATATGCGGGGCCTAACACAAACAGTAGGAAGGTTGCTGAATATGGAGGCAACACACTGGGATATGGCAGCCGTAGTGTCTTAGGAACTGGTTGGCCGAAAGACTTGGTGAAGGTATGGTATCCAGTCATAATCGCTTCCTAGAAAAGAAAATGAACTTGCAGTCCTCACAGGTCCAAGTACTAACTGTAATCCCAGAAAAACATTTGCCCTGGGGGCTTTTGTTGAGGTGGGGCCACCTTACTAGGCCTGTCACCTCACTCCTATTCAGAATGATCCTCCTTTCACTTGTAGGACATCAGACCCCTGTTCACTCCCTTTCACAAGTTGCTCCATGGATAGAATTTGTCACAGCATTTTCTTCCTTGTTGATTAAAAGGGTTGCTAGATCTTTTCCAGCTTAGTTCTCCTCTATACTCCCTGTTGACAAGTACCCTAGAACCACAAGGCCATTGCAGTGTAAAAGTATTGAGTTAATGTGTTCAGATGAATTTGGGCCTTTGGAGCAAAAACAATTATCCATTCTCAAACTGATGAAATGAGTGCCATGCTTTGTAATTCGGCCCTCAAACTACTTACTATGTATCTGCCTGGGATATGAATATAAACTGAAATGTCTGTTAAAACCCAAAAATGTCCCCAAAGTCTATTCCCAGGGCCTTTATTTCATATACGTTATGGACCCTCTTTAATTCAGCCATAGATGGCAAGCCATTTGTTAGAAATTATGGCCAGGTGCAGCTGCTCACACCTATAGTCCCAGCACTATATCACTCAGGTGATCCGGAGGATCAGGATCACCTGAGGTCGGGAGTTTGAGACCAGCCTGGCCAACATGGTGAAACACCGTCTCTACTAAAAATACAAAAATTAGTCAGGCATGGTGGTACGCGCCTGTTATGCCAGCTACTCAGGAGGCTGAGGCAGGAGAATCATTTAAACCCAAGAGGCGGAGGTTGCAGTGAGTCAAGATTGCGCCACTGTACTCCAGTCTGGGCGACAGAGCGAAACTCCATCTCAAAAAAAAAGAAAGAGAGAGAGAAATTATGCTTAAGGCCTAGCAAGGTGACTCATGCCTGTAATCCCAGCACTTTGGGAGGCCAAGGTGGACAGACTGCTTGAGCCCAAGAATTTGAGACCAACCTGGGCAACATAGTGAGACCTCATCTCTACAAAAAAAAAACAAAAACAAAAATTAGCTGGGCATGGTGCCGCACACTTATAGTTCCAGCTACTCAGGAGGCTGAAGTGGGAGGATTGCTTGAGCCCAGGAGGTTGAGGCTGCAGTGAGCCATGGTTGTGCCACTGCACTCCAGCCTGGGTGACAGAGTAAGACCTTGTCTCAAAAAAAAAAAAAAAAAAATTATTCTCAAGATTTGATTAACCTTTACTTTGATCTTGCTAATGGGCAACTGTGGCCCATTTCACAGATGCCTCATCCCAAAGACTACCTCGTCAAGAGAGAGACTTAAAGGACTGGGTGTCTAAATGAAAGGGAATGGAATTTGAATCAAAAAGCAAGTGAGAAAAGGAGTGAAATATTGCTGTGGTCCTTTTTGAAAGTAAACCTCTGAAATTCATTGCTCTTTTGAAAATTGTGTATCTTGTTTTTAAAGTGCATTTCCCACCCCCCTCTTAAATTTTAAGGTGGAAGGAGATACAGTCACCTTCTCCTTTGAAATGAGAAGTGGCCGTGAACACAACACTCCTGATAAAGCCATGTGGGGCTTTGCTTGCACAGTTCGCGCTCAGGTACTTGAATCTAACCACTGCCGTGGACAAAATGTACTATCTGCTATGTGCCTTGATTACATACATCATATTTGCCTTGGAAACAGGGCAGAATATGAGTCACTCTTTCATCTTTCTCTTCTAGTTGGCACTAGTCAACTACTAGCAGCTAGTAGTACTTTTACAGAATAAAACTAGCCATGACCTAATATCAGCTCAGCAGCACAGAAATACATCTATTGATTGGGGCTGCCTCTTCAAAGCTTGGGGAGGTGACCTGACCCCAGCATCTTTCCATAGGGCAAAGAGGACTCAATAGAACTTAATAGAAATAAGCACTTGGATCCTGGGTTTTAAGAGTAGTTAAGCATCCAGCTGAGCATGGTGGCTCACACTTGTAATCCCAGTACTTTGGGAGGCTGAGGCGGGCAGATCAACTGAGGTCAGGAGTTCGAGATCAGCCTGGCCAACTTGGTGAAACCCCGTCTCTACTAAAAATACAAAAATTAGCCGGGTGTGTTGATGGGCACCTGTAGTCCTAGCTACTTGAGAGGCTGAGGGAAGAGAATCACTTGAACCGGGAGGCAGAGACTGCAGTGAGCTGAGATGGTACCACTGTACTCCAGCCTGGGTGACAGAGTGAGACTCCGTCTCAAAAGTTAAAAAAAAAAAAAACAAAAACCAGAGTACTTAAACATCCTACTGACCCCTCCAGTTGCCTGATTCCAAAAACGTATTTTAGATTTTGATGTTTCTTAAGCTTAACCACGCTAAGACTCTCCAGAGTGGCATTAACTGCTAGAATGTAAGCTCCATGAGAGCAGGGATCTTCATTTCATTCTCTGATGTATCTCAGGCACCTAGAACAATGGCTGGCACACAGAGGACACCCAGTAAATATTTCTTGAATGAATTCACTGCAGTCATTGACAATATCACAGTTTGAGCACAGGATGGAAGTGAAAAAACAAAATAGTGGTTTATACTTAGGTAGGCACAACAAAGAGGAAGCTATCAAAGAGTCAGGCTTCTTTATTTCATTTATACTATTTATTTGATTTGTACTATTGTATATGGGGTCTGATCAACTATTTTCTCTTCAGAATTATGTTGAGACTTCACTCTGGTCATTGCAGTACCACCATCTAGTCATGATTTGGGTGCTGTACCTATGTTCCCTAGCAGTGATACTTGATGCTGCTCTGTAGAACCCTGTGGTTGGGAACAGTGCAGTGTGGGGCAGCACAGGTAGCAACCTCTGCCAGTGTACACTGACCATTGTGGTTTACCCCTGTCTGCATTGTAGGAGTCTTCGGAGGATGTCTCAGGAGGCTTGCCCTTTCTGGTAGACCTGGCTTTAGGTCTGTCTGTGTTAGCTTGTTCCATGTTAAGAATCCTGTACAATGGACCAGAAATTACCAAAGAAGAAGAAGCCTGTCAGGAGCTATTGCGGTCCAAACTTTTACAAAGGTAACAAAAAGGTTGAATTTGAGCTAGTGTTGCCTGCAAAGGAAAAAGGACTTTATGTGGAAAAATCCTTTTGGTACATTTTCAGGGTGATTGTGCCTACTGCCTGGCAATCTCATGGGTGTCATTGTGTCTAAGAAATAAGATGAAAATTACACCATAGTGCTTTCTGGCCCTTACTTTACTAAATTTAAGATTACATCTTTGAACTGCATAAGCTTTTCTCCGACACAATTATTGTCTAATTAAATTGAATGATCCCCAAGAGGATGAGTGGATGTGTGATAAAGCAAACACAGCAAATGTTTATTGTACAATCTAGGCAAATGTGTCTGTGGACATTAACCATGTCATTCTTTCAGCTTTTCTGTACATTTAAAAGTTTTAATGATTAAATATTGGGGGGGAGCTAGATCCCCAAAGATGGGCTTTCATACAATGCTCATTTTTCTTTAGCTTCTGGAGAAGGTTTGATGAGTAATTAACACAGAATGTGATTCTTCATATGTTTGATGTGTCTGCAAACATCCAATAGCTTTCCAGTAATCTTGATGAGAGAGGAAGTGAAGAGCCTCTTTTCTGTCTGCTCAGGTGCCAGTGGCAGGTGGAGGCCAATGGCGTGATCTCCCCTGCCCTTACTCCGAGCCCCTCTCCACTGCCTCTGACCATAGAGGAAGACAGAGAATTCACCTACCCCTCTGATGTCCTCGTGCCTCCTGTTGGAAACTACTTTGATCTGCCTCGGATCAGGCTGCCTCCAGGAATCATGATAAAGCTCAGGGAAATTTCTGGGCGTGCTAGACCTCAATTTAGACCAAGTATAAAGTATGTTGCTGTGTAGCGTTTTACTTTTCCCAGTAGGAAAAAAAGTTTAAACAATTGAAATGGGTGTATTTCTTCTGTGGTATAGTAAATGAAACTTTAATTTTATGTTTACTCTATGAGTGTTAAAATTAACCGAGTCTGGAGGGCCCACCAGGCAGTATTCCAGATTAGGGGCTCTCAAAATTTGGTCCCCTAGTCAGCAGCATTGGCATCACTTGGGAGCTTGTTAGTTCTTGGACCCCATTTTACACCTATTGAATCAGGAGGTCTGAGGATGGGGCCCAGCTTAACAAGTTTCCCATGTGACTGATACATGCTAAAGTGTGACAAGTGCTAGGTTTATCTCTAGTGTTTTGACCTTCTACTAGCAGTCAGCCTCTACTTTACTTTCCAGAGTCTAGAGATATGTGTTTATTTTTGATGCCTAGAGAAATGGTGAGGAGTTCTGTAATCTAGAATGTACAGACTTACAGTTACAAATGTCTGTGGTATTCTTGCTTAAAGTCAAGTCTGTTTTGCAGGCCTCTGCTCTGCCTCCTGAGGCAGGATTTCAGAGAGAAAACTTGGAGAATATATGAAATTTGAAATGAAAAAAATACAGAAAACACTATTGTTTTCAGCCCAACATCCATATGCACTGAATACTGCAGGCCATAATACTGCATAAAATTAATTAGTGGATAGATGCTGCTGAAGATCCTTTCTTAGCCTTAGCCCTCTTCCAGCTCTAATATGTCTCTAACTCAAAATATAGCAATCATAGAAAATGAAGTCTTTTTTTTTTTTTTTTTTTGAGAGGGAGTCTCGTTCTGTCACCCAAGCTGGAGTGCAGTGATGTGATCTCGGCTTACTACAACCTCCGTCTCCCAGGTTCAGGAGATTCTCCTGCCTCAGCCTCCCGAGTAACTGGGATTACAGGGACATGCCACTATAGCCAGCTAATTTTTGTGTTTTTAGTAGAGACGAGGTTTCTCCATGTTGACCAAGCTGGTCTCGAACTCCTGACCTCAAGTGATTCACCTGCCTCGGCCTCCCAAAGTGCTAGGATTATAGGCTGAAGTCTCTTTACTCTTGATTTTCAGCTTTATCAGCCAATGTCAGTTTTATCAGTTAATATACTAAATTATTTGCCAACATAAGACTCCCGACAGTGCCATTATACTATGCATACCTCTTACTCTATTGTAACAAAGGAGGTGTGGTGAATATTTAATATCTTTAGATCAAAGCCTAAGTTCTCCAACCTATAAAATACTCTCTTGGGCCTGGGGCATGGTGGCTCATGCCTGTAATCCCAATACTTTGGGAGGCCAAGTCAAGAGGATTGCTTGAGCCCAGGAGTTCAAGACCAGCCTGAGCAACATAGTGAGAAACCCCCACCCTAAACTTTTTTTCTCAAATTAGCTGAGCATGGCAGCATGCACCTGTAGTCTCAGCTACTCAGGAGGCTGAGGCAAGAGGATCCCTTGAACCCAGGAGTTTGAGGCTGCAATGAGCCATGATTGCTCCGCTGAACTGCAGCCTAGGTGACGGGGGAGAGACCCTGTCTCTAAAAAAATTAAAAATAAAAATAAAATACAGTATTGAGAAGCTGAGAGCATGGCATACATCTGACTAATTTCCATTGTGGTCACAGAGAAGTAATTCAGCCAGACGTGATGGAGGAAATGGTGGTATCTTGTGTTATTAAACACTTGAACTTGGTTGATGCACTGCAATCTCTAATAAATTTCCAATATCAAGAAGAACATGCTGAAGAATATGATTTATTGTGTAAAATTATGGGAGAGACTTTTAAGAAGCTCAATGCCATGGAGAGACAGCTGCAGGTAAATGTCTGATAACTGTTGGAAATAATTTCTTTCATGGAAATTTAAAGAAATTTAGAATGTGATCTAATTTTTAAAATTACTATTGTGACTAAAATTTTGAATTGTACTTGTTTTTATTTTGCATCTATTTTAATGTATTTATTAGAGTGTTGCAGAACTGGAACAAAAATGGCAAAGTGAAGTTGATGATGCCATGCAGGGGAAACTGGAGAACAACATGCCTTTCTTTTATGATTACCATTTTAATGAGGTGAGCAAAGTGTATGATTTGTCCCTGGGGCATTGTGTGTGTGTGTGTGTGTGTGTGTGTGTGTGTGTGTGTAGAGGTACAATAATGTCATTTCCTAAAATGTTGCACACTCCAAAACTGTACCTATTCTTTAAAAGAGGTTAAATGAAAATTGATTAGATCAGCATGCAGTATACAAATAATTACTCATGAGGTTGTTTTTCTAAATGATTAATAGTTTTATAAAGCTATATAAGGAAGTTGTCATCATGGTCAAATTTTGCTTTCAAGCCTTAAAAAACAAAAAATAGGCAAAATTATAAGCCCTGAAAGAATTCCCAGAAAGTAGTGAATGCCATTCTTAATCATTAAAATATCAAATAATAACTTACAAATGAGTTTCAAGCATAGAAATATGGACCAAAGGTGGTGGTTTTTCTCTGAAATTTTCTGTTCATTTTAATATATGTTTAGTAAAACTTGGTTCTTGCAGATCCTGCATACATCTTTTTTTTCTTTAGAACAAAATGAAAGAACTAGAACTTTTGTGTTCAATGAAGGAAGTCTCCTTTGATGGGAATGATCTTGAAAACATGGTCCTATCACTGAGGTTAGTGGTATTAATAACTATTAAGGCTATTATCACCTTGATGCTCAAAACACATTGTAAAGGTCTAGTCTCTTAATAGATATATTTTTTTATATTGTGAACTTACTAAATATTTTAGAATTGGAACTCATTTGGTAAATTGGAAGTTTTGGTTTTAACCTTCAAAAGTTAGCACAGGCATTTGAAACAGAAAAAGAAACCAGAAGTGGCCAGATTTTCTAACACTGTTCCTTGGATGAGGAAACAGGGAAGTAAGTTGATTAGGTTACTTTTGCTTAGTTTCCCCTGTGTCTTCTCTTATTCTTTGTAAACATTTTTTTTAATGGTTGTTTTTGGTAAGCTAGAGAACAACTCAATGCACATCAATCTTTCTTTATAGGGAGAAGTTCCTACAAGAAGTGAATTCTCTTATTCAGAAACCCTCACACCCACTGGCTAAAACAAAGACGTTAGTGAAGAGTTTAATGAACCGAGCCGAGCTTTTGCTGCATGTCACCATCGCGGCCCAGTCAGGCCTCACAAGAAGCATCTCTGGGACCCCTGCTGAAACACCAGGTACTGCTCAAAGATAGCCCCTAATTGGCTTCTGGTCCTACTCTGTTCATATAAGACACATCAGCTATATTTTGAAAAATTCACTCTTCGGTACTCCAAGAAAGGAAAACAAAAGGAAATTTTAACATATTTAGTTTTGCCTTATACTTTCTCTACAAAGCACTTGAGTGACAAAAGAAAAACAAAGAAATACTTGTATGTCATTAAATTCCTGTGGTCAACTTCTTGTTTCTTTTATATTATTTTACTTTTTGAGACTGAGTCTCGCTCTGTCGCCCAGGCTGGAGTGCAGTGGCGTAATCTCGGCTCACTGGAACCTCTGCCTCCCAGGTTCAAGCAATTCTGCTTCAGCCTCCTGAGTAGCTGGGACTACAGGTGCATGCTGCCATGCCTAGCTAATTTTTGTATTTTTAGTAGAGAGGGGGTTTCACTATGTTGGCTAGGTTGGTCTTGAACTGCTGACCTCAGGTGGTCCGCCCGCCTTGGGCTCCCAACATGCTAGGATTACAGGTGTGAGTCACTGCGCCCGGCCCTGTTTTCGTTTTCATACTAACATATATAATTAGATTTCATAGTATCATATACAATTAGTGAACATCATGAATCTTGTAACATCATTTTTCCCTCTTTACTTGAAGCTGAGTTTGCATTTCATCTTTAGTAATTATGTGGAACCTTGTGCTATGACTTCCTGGGAGTTAACTTTTTCTAGGTCACATTTTATTTATTTATTTATTTATTTATTTATTTATTTATTTTTTGAGATGGAGTCTCGCTCTGTTGCCTAGGCTGGAGTGCAGTGGCATAATCTCTGCTCACTGCAATCTCTGCCTCCCGGGTTCAAGCAGTTCTCCTGCCTCAGCTTCCCAGGTAGGTGGGATTACAGGCACTTACCACTATGCCCAGCTAATTTTTGTATTTTTAGTAGAGACAGGGTTTCGCTGTGTTGGCCAGGCTGGTCTTGAACTCCTGATCTCAGGTGATCCGCCCACCTCAGCCTCCCAAAGTGCTGGGATTACAGGTGTGAGCCACCATGCCCAGCCTAGGTCACATTTTAATTGTTAGCCTAAAAATGCATCTCTCAGGAAAATCATTGAGTCTTCTTACTTAAGACAGGATCTGTAACATGGCACAGCCCACAAGTATTCATTCTTAACCTAAGAGATAAAATTAAATAAACATGTTCTTAAATGGAAGCGTCCATGTTACATAGCCCCATTGCCCAGTGAGCAGTAGGGAGCAGGCAAACTTGTTTTCATCCCAGCTGGTCATCTAAGGCTCTTCTCACTTGGGATTTGAAGTCTAGGAGGACTCCCAAGGTCTTACTCTGTAATACAGGTTCTCCCTGAGAACTTCAGGGGAAGACACAGGTTTGGGAGAGAGACGTGTGCTGAGTGTGTGGTACAATCACATGCCAGGATGGTCTGCTATACACATAAGCCCTTGGTAAAGGTCTTGTATATAGACCTGACCACTTGGTAAGGCTGTTAGTACTGTCCCAGAGGCTCTTGACCTCAGAGATAACAGTATCTTCAAAAATTATATACTTTTTTAATATTTAAGCTGTCTAACCACTCTTAAGACAGATACAAAATGGTTTTCTCAGCTGGGCACAGTGGCTCATGCCTGTAATCCCAGAACTTTGGGAGGCCAAGGCAGGAGGATCGCTTAGACCAGGAGTTCAAGACCAGGCTTTGCCACATAGCAGGACCTGGTCTCTACAAAAAAACATGAAAATTAGCCACGCATGGTGGTGTGCACCTGTAATCCCAGCTACTTGGGAGGCTGAGTTGGGAGGATTGTTTGAGTCCAGGAGTACAAGGCTGCAGTAAGCCATGATTGTAGCACTGCACTTCAGCCTGGGCAACAAAGCAAGACCCTGTCTCTAAATAAATAAATAAGTGAAAATTTTAGAAAAATAAAACAAAATGGTTTTTTCCTGCACTTTCTCAACACCTTTTTTCTTAGCTAGTCTTGACGTATAGTTTTATCTTCTTTCCATTTAAGGGTTGTTTTATAAAACAACTATTTCCCTGGACAGGGTTAAGGAATATGTCTTATAGAAAGACCCATTCAGATTCCAACTCAAGTGTGATATTTATTCCTACCAACTATGATCAAAGCAGAGGTATCATCAAATGACAATAAATCAGCTAAATAAATCTGGGGTTAAAGCGGGGATAAAGGCCATCTCTGAAAAAAATGGATTTGGATGTATTTGAATTAAGAAATTTGGGCCAGGTGTGGTAGCTCACACCTGTAATCCTGGCACTTTGGGAGGCCAAGGTGGGCGGATCACTTGAAGTCAGGAGTTCGAGACTAGCCTGGCCAACATGATGAAACCCCATCTCTACTAAAAAAATACAAAAGTTACCTGGACGTGGTGGTGCACGCCTGTAATCGCTGCTACTTGGGAGGCTGAGGCAGGAGAATCACTTGAACCTGGGAGATGAAGGTTGCAGAAAGCCGAGATCACACCACTGCACTGCCTCCTGGGTGACAGAGTGAGACCCATCTCAAAAAAATAAGAAATTAAAAAATGTTAAAAAAGAAATTTGTGCTTTCTGGCAATTACTTGCTATGTCCTTCTTGCTTTTTAGAATGCTTAGGTTAAAGTGAACATTGATAGCTATGAAATTAAATGAATTTTTCAGCTTTTCTTTGGGAAACCAATTTAATAAAAAGATTTTAATTTTTTTAAGTTAAAATAATTTTTAACCTAATACTTAGGTTAAAAAATTGATGTAAAAACCATCAGTATGCTGTGCTAGCTAGATTGGTGGCTGAACTGTGATAGAAAGCAAAGATACACTTAAACTGTTGGGTAGCTCTGTGTTGCATTTGGCTGTTGTGCAGATAGCAGAAATGTCAGCCTTTTAATTCCTTTTTTTCCAGCTTGTAAATCAGCTTCTGAAACAAAAGTGATATCTCATGCTGTCAGGCAGCCTGTTTTTCTTCGCAGCATGTCAGCTCCTTCTGACCTGGAAATGATTGGTAATGAAGATTTGGAATTTACTAGAGCAAATCAGAGGTAAATGGCTAATGGCCAGGGTTGGGTTCCCACATGCAGCTGAATGCATTCATCAAAACAAGCTCCCTGAGTGTGTTTCTCGTCTTGCCAGTCTGTTCTATGTTCCCTGTAGGCGTCGCCACGTGACCAGCCACCGCAGCAGCTCCTTTACACTCCTGCAGTCGCTGGCCATTGAGGACAGCAGGGACAAGCCCACCTACAGTGTCCTGCTAGGGCAGCTGTTTGCTTTCATCGGCACCAACCCTGACCAAGCTGTACGTTATGTTTTGCAGGCTCCTGATGAATAGCACCTAACAGCATGAGGGGTCTTGGGGCAGTTAGCAGGAGTCAGGTGTCCTTCCTTCTTGTGCATTTCAGGTGTCCAGCAGCAGTTTTCTTTTGGCTGCACAGACAAGGTGGCGGCGGGGAAACACTCGCAAGCAGGCACTGGTGCACATGCGGGAATTGCTGACAGCTGCCGTGCGAGTCGGGGGAGTGACACATCTTGTGGGTCCAGTGACAATGGTCCTTCAGGGAGGACCCAGGTTAGTTGTTTCTGTTAGTTTATACTGTCCTTTCTAGAATGGTCAGAGCCATTCCAAAGATTATTCCTGGGGCCCAAACATAGGCATAGTATTTGCTAATGTTTTCCTCTAAAATATATATAAAAGTGGTACATGATCTTGCAAAAAACTCAACATATTAATAGAATGTAAAACTCTTGGTATTCACCATTTTCTCCTAAATTCCACTCTGTCCATTAAGAGCTCATTATAGCAACCATACATGCATAAGCAGCTGTATAATTCTTTTTGTACACATAAATGTGTTTATGTATAAATTTTTTCAACTTAATTCAGATTATATTATCCGTGCCTTTCTATAACCACGGTTGTTTTGCTCAGTATGTCTTAGATATCTCAGGTATCTGTTTTCATATCAGTACATATAGGTCTGGTCTGCTTTATCTTTTTTTTATTTGACATAGCATCTCACTCTGTCACCAAGGCTGAAGTACAGTGGCACAATCTCAGCTCATGGCAGCCTCCGCCTCCCGGGTTCAAGTGATTCTTGTGCTTCAACCTCCCAAGTAGCTAGGATTACAGGCACATGCCACCACACCTGGCTAATTTTTATATTTTTAGTAGAGATGGAGTTTCACCATATTGGCCAGACTGGTCTCAAACTCCCGAACTCAGATAATCTGCCTGCCTCGGCCTCTCAAAGTACTGTGATTACAGGCATGAGCCACTGTGCCCAGCCTTTTTTTTTTTTTTTTAACAGGTTCTCATTCTGTCACCCAGGCTGGCATGCAATGACGTGATCATGGCTCACTGCAGTCTTGACCTCCCCAGGCTCAAGCGATCCTCCCACTTCAGCCTCCCAAGTAGCTGGGACTATGGGCACGTACCATCATGCCCAGCTAGTGTATTTATTTTTTGTAGAGACGGGTTCTTGCCATGTTGCTGAGGCTGGTCTCAAATTTCTGGGCTCAAGGGATCCTCCTGTCTCAGCCTCCCAGACTGCTGGGATTAAAGGCATGGGCCACCATACCTGGCTGCTTTAAGATTTTTAAGAGGTCATAGATATACATTATATAGATGACCTTTTCTAAAAAATTTAACTCATCCTCTTCTGATGGACACATAGGTTCATTTGTCTTTATTTCTTTTGTTTTTGTTTTGTTTTTGCATTAACAACCTCGTTTTACCTATATTTTTGTATATTTCCATGATTGTTATTACTGAACCAATTTCTAAAAATGTAATCGTAGATACTAACTCTGAAGATGGTTTTATAACTCATTTGTGAGTTGTTCTATATGAGTTTCCTATTGGGCTTCAAAGATCTTCAAGTAGAAATAGAAAATGCATTTCTCTACAAGCCCTGGACTTGATCTGCTGGAGGTGAGGAATTCTGGCCAATAGGCAGAGAGGGTCCAGTGACTGGAGGAAAATGGGTTAATTAAGGCTGAAGTGAGTATCCTGAGAAATCTTGAGATCCTCCCACCTCAGCCTTCCAAGTAGCTGGGACTACAGGAGAGGTCAGACTATTCTTTGGAAACAAGTCCAAAATTTCAGTGGCTTAAAAGATAAAATTTTTTTGGGCACAGTGGCTCACACCTATAATCCCAGCACTTAAGGAGGCCAAGGCAGGAGGATCACTTGAGGCCAGGAGTTCAAGACCAGCCTGGGCAATATAGTGAGACCCTGTCTCTACAAAAAAGAAAAAATTAGCCGGAGTGGTGGGGCATGCCTGTGGTCCCAGCTACTGGGGAAGCTGAGGCAGGAAGATCGCTTGAGGCCAGGAGGTTGAGACTGCAGTAAGCTATGATCGCATCACCCTGTACTTCAGCCTGGGCAACAGAGCAAAACCTTATCACAAAAAAATAAAAAGAAGACAGAATTTTAGGTCTTGCTTCTGTTCGTGATGGGTTCATGCTGGCTCGTGGTAATCACAGAGGAGGAAACCACCACCTCGAGAGCTGCCAGGCTCCTTGTCAGAACTCTCGCTCATTGACCAGACTTGCCACTGTCCAGCCAACCACAGGGTGCCCAGAAAGAAACAGTGAAAAGCCCTCATGATTACCATAGCCTATTTCCAGAATTTAATTTCTCCATAAAACTGGCAACACTATTCCTTTTTCCCTCGATTATTGTCATTTGTCGGAAACTTGAAAAAAAATGTAGAAAATGCAAAAAAATAAAATGAAAATCACCTACAAGTACACCCTCTTAAGGTAACATCTGTTAACGCTTTAGTGTCTGTGTTCTAACCATAGATGGCTCCCGTAGTGTTCTTAGTGGTTCTGTAGCACTGCATTATATGCAGTGAAACTTTATATTATATGCTTGAAACTTTAACAAATTCCCTATTTTTGAACATTAGGTTAGTTTTGCTTGTTTGTTTTTGCTATTGTAAACAATACGATGTTGCATGTCTTTGTAGACAAATCCTGATAGTCTCAGTTCTAAACTAATATTAATTGGTATAGAATCAGCCCTATATTGTGTTTTTTTCATTGTGAAAGTTTTATTTTTTATCAACTAGGCTTTCATCATCTGCTAATAACTGAAGTGGGAACTCAAAAACAGACACTTAGCTAATCCATTTGAGCTTTAGTTGTCTCATTAATAAAACTGCCTTGGCTAGGCACAGTGGCTCAGGCCTGTAATCCCAGCACTTTGGGAGCCGAGGTGGGAGGATTACTTGAGCTCAGGAGTTTGAAACCAGCCTGGGCAACACGGTGAAACATCATCTCTACTAAAAGTAAAAAAAAATTAGCTGGATGTGGTGGTGTGCATCTGTGGTCCCAGCTACTTGGGAGGCAGAGGTGGGAGGATCACCTGAGCCCAAGAGATCAAGGCTGCAGTGAGCTGTGATTGTACCGCTGCACTCCAGCCCGGGTAACAGAGCAAGACCCTGTCTCTAAAAAAATAAAAAAGAAAAAGCACTTACAGTATTCAGTGCTACTTAGATTATTGTAGACATGTCTGAAATAACTGGTTTCATGATCAAATATGTTTGGAAAATGTTGAATGTCCTCTGCTTGTAGAGATGCCATTCACTTTACCCTTACTGAAGGCTCTGAAAAGTCTACAGTAGTCTGTTTTAATTTCCCTAACCCAGGATTTCGCAGACTTTTCTGGAGTGTGGACCACTGTTTTGGAGGCACTCCTAAAACTTCTGTCCAGCAGTCTTACATAGTTTGGGAAACACTGAGCTGGATGTTCTCCAAGATCCCTTCAGTTCTGGATTCATCCAGAAACTCTAGAGTTTCTCAAGAGGCCTCTCCTGCTCACATGGTCACAGCCACTGTTCTTGACGTGGTTCAGGAAGCCTGAGCTTTGGTTTCTCTTTCACAGAATTGAAGAACTCACATGTGGTGGGATGGTCGAGCAGGTCCAGGAAGCCTTTGGCGAGACCATGACCTCCGTTGTGTCTTTGTGTGCTCGTTACCCTATCGCTTGTGCAAATAGCATTGGACTCTTATGTACCATACCTTATACCAGGTAAGTACGGAAAGGCCTTTTGTTGTATGTAAGTTACACTGATGTATAGTCAATTAAGTGAAAGTATTTTTAATTTTAAAAATTGGATTTTTTGCTTTCATTATCCGGAACTAGCTATAGAAAACTTTTCTCCTGAAAGACACTTAAGGTTCCTGTGTAAATTTCTTATTATTGAGTTCCTACATGACTAAATGCAGCCATTAGGATTATATTACATTGTGAAGATACAGAGGTTCAAAGAAAAATAAAAGGTCCCTAGGAAATTACTTACATATTTGGCAGGAATATTTTGCATATGCACATTTATTTCCTCTTTTGGGTCACTTAGTTACTAATTTGAAGATGTCAAGCATTCGTTGAATCCCCTTAGGACAAAATATATGATTTTTTTACATCACTGCAACATTGAGTTGATTCCATCGATTTTTGCTTTGATATTGTAGATAAATAAATCAGAATTTGAAGTTCCTTGTTAATGAAGGGAATCATCATTATAAGAAAATCATTTTGTGTTTGATTGCACATGGCAGTATCCTAAGTTGTAGGGAAGGAACTACACCAGCATGTTTTATGCCCCTTTGAACCTCACGTAAGAGTTTCCTGAGTGTTGGTCAGTTACGTTTATCTAGTGTAATCCATGACCCTTTGTCAGGAGTGAAGAGAAGTGCCTGGTACGCAGTGGCCTTGTGCAGCTCATGGATCGACTGTGTAGCTTGAGCAGTCAGACCGAGTCCAGCTCCAGTGAGAAACAGACCAAGAAGCAGAAGGTGGCCACCATGGCCTGGGCCGCCTTCCAGGTGCTTGCCAACCGCTGTGTTGAGTGGGAAAAAGAGGAAGGTGAGATGCCGGACTCCTTTCTAGAGCTCACTGATTTCTTCTATTGGTGTGTTAGTTTATTAGGTTTTTTATGCTAAATGAGAGAGAGAAAGGCTCCGTTAAATGACATGATCAGATGGGTTAAATCAGTGGATGATTTCATGAGAGACTTTTCCTCAGTGTGGTTCTATGAAAACTTACAGCATTACGATGAGACTAAATATCCCCGTACCCTGAAGGAGTACAGTTATCCCAGGAGATTGAGAAGGTATTTTTTATTCTCTCCCTGTCAACACTGCTAACAGTTTCCAAATATATTTTTTAATTAAAAAAATTTATTAGACACAAGGTCTGTCACCCAGGCTAGGGTACAGTGGTACAATCATAGCTCACTGTAACCTCGACCTCCCTGACTCGAGTGATAAGCGATCCCCCAACCGCAGCCTCCCAAGTAGGACTACAGGTGCACACTACCATGCCCAGCTAATGTTTTTTTGTTGTTGTTGTTTGTTTTTAGAGTCAGGATCTTGCTATGTTGCCCAGGTTGGTCTCAAACTCCTGGCCTCAAGCAGTCCTTATGCCTTGGCGTTCAAAAAAACAAATACTTTTTGAAGTGGCTTTTCAGTTGCATTTTCAAGGTGATGTTTCCAAATTTTATTTTTAGTGACCAATCCAAATAAAAAGTAAACCTGGGCTAGGTGCAGTGACACATGCCTATAGTCCCAGCCACTCAGAAGGCTGAAGTGGGAAGAGTGCTTGAGCCAGGGAGGTCGAGGCTGCAGTGAGCTGTGATTGTGCCACTACACTCCCTGGGCAACAGAGCGAGACCCTGTTTCAAAAAAAAAAAAAGTAAATTTGAAGGATAAATTTCCCCATAAGATTCCAGGCCTGTGTATATAACTTGTTTATTTATCTGTTTATTTGTTCACGATGCATTTTAATGTCTTGAGAGTCTATTATATGCCAGGCAGAAGATAAATAAGGCATTATTCCTCCCTTTAAAAATATGGTCTGGCAGGGAACTAGACTAATAAGCAAATACTTATAGTGTAATCAGTGCCACAACTGAGGTGGATAGGAAGTGCAGTGGGAGTGTAGAGGTCCCAGAGACCAGCTGTGCTAGGGATCCAGCAAAGCTTCTCAGAGAAGGTGACATGGGAGTTACTCTTGAAGGATGGAGAAGACTTTCGAGCAGAACAAATAGTGTGTGTAGACTCAGGGATCTAAAAGAGCATGGAAAGTTCAGGAAACAACAAATACTTTTTCATAACTTCTACATGCTTCGGAGGTTCTGGAACTATGGTGAACATGGAAGAATCCAGAAAGGTCTTTTATTATGTTTGGCAAAGTATGAGTTAAAAAATCAAGATGTTTTCATCACCAGTGAAATAGTGATTCTTCACTATCAATCAAAGTATGGTCTTTGATTATATATGGATTAATCATATTCAGTTTTCATGAATAGTAATGTCTACTCCCAACATGGGGTTATTTTTAAAATAACTATTATCCTTTTTATGTATAGATATTATCTAATGAGGAGACACTATTAGATGGTTCATGAAACATTAAGCAAGATAAATGGACAGGGCTCGCCACCCCCGCAGGCTCACCATGGCACCCTTAGGTTTTCACCAAGTTCTTTTTTTCTTTAACTGTGAAGGTGGCTCCACAGAGGCTGTGCACTCAGGTCTGGCCCGGCAGGTGTCCAGCCTTCTCACCAACCATCTTGCCCGAGCCACAGAGTGCTGTGGCAACCAGGCTGCTGGGAATGATGCGCTCCAGGATGTCCTTAGTCTTCTCAATGATCTCTCAAGGTATGCAAGGTCCAGCCTGGAGCTCTGGGAGAAGCTGGCTTTCCTCTTGAACGATTGGGGTTTCTTTTGGTGGTGGTTGTCTTTTCAAAATAGCTAAATTACTAGGCCATTTTGACACACCCTTGCCTCAAAAAAAAAAAAATGGAGGATGAAGTGGTTGAAACATAGTATTTAGTTCTAAAGTTTAAGGATTATTTAGGTGAATAGCTAAATCATAAAATAATGTATTATCATTTGCTTTAATACCTTACTGACAGCAGCTGCTAACCTTTCCCATAGATGCAGTTGTATTCATTAACCAAAAATCTTACCCTCATTATAGCAAGATTAAAGAGTAATAAGTCAGGGCCTGTAATTAACTCACTTTCTCATGCTGTGTCGTTAAAAGAAGATATTCTGTGCTGGTTGTATACCCCCTGTGTGAGCCATGAGGCCCATAAAATATCCACGTATGACTGACTGCATGATATTTAGCTTTCTTGGAATGTAGCAGTTTTAGCTGTGGCAGATCCTAGAACACTGAAGGCTGTACAACACTGTGTGATAGCTTTGGTCTTGAGGCACTCATTAAGAAAGAATAAATAACATAAATTCCAAAGAGAACTATTTACAAGTTAATCTCTGTTTCCAGATCCAGTCATTCTCCCTAGCAATCATTTATTATAGAATGCTTCTCCCCTCTCCCATAACCTGGTTTACCAGGATCCAAGCCCCCATTCTATCTGTAACCTCAAGATGGTAGATAAGCTTCTGTAACTCTTGGAAAATTCAGTCTTCACTCTGAAGGCTCCTGTGTATACATGTTAAATAAATTTGTGTGTCTTTTTTCCTATTAAAAAAAATGAAAGAATAGATGACAAACTGAAAAGCTCTTAGTTTGAGTTTGTAAGTCTCAGTGCTCCATGAATCACTCTGAATTTAGGATTTCAAGTAAGCATCAGAGATCAGAAAATATTCAAAAATCTTTCTTTTTAAGTATTAGTGTTGTTTGGTTTCATCAAATTTTCCAAAATTCTTAATTCTTCACAGAAGCATAGTGCCAAATTCATGTCTTCCTCATGAAATCAAATTTCATTAGTTTGTTTCATTCAGAGAACTCTTGCTTCTGAATGTCTGTAGATCAACATTTCTAGCACTGTTTACCTTTTCTTCCTTTTTTCCCAGGAGCCACATAGGTAAAGCCATCCTGAGCCAGCCAGCTTGTGTGTCCAAACTCCTCTCCCTGCTGCTTGACCAACGCCCGTCTCCAAAGCTGGTCCTTATTATTCTCCAGCTGTGCCGGGCGGCGCTGCCTCTGATGAGCGTAGAAGACTGTGGAAACGTGGAGCTCCCACCCTGGAGCTACTCTGTCCCCTCCTTAAACAGTGAGCAGGAGGATCCCAGCGACCCAGCTTCCAAGATCGCCTCCTTACTCTTAGCAAAGCTGGCAGATTACGTGGTTCCAGGTGAGAAGCTCCTCAACAGGAGAGGAGCATGGCAGTGCAGCCTTTCTGGGCCCAGTCAGGTCCCCACTTGCATCTGTGCTTCCTGTGATGAAAGACTGAGTGACAGAGAAGGGAGTGGGGACAGAGGAATAGAGAAGGGGGAAGAGGGATTCCAAATCCCAAACCATTATTTTTCATTTTAGCAGAGCCGCCAAAACACCACTGCAGTTTTCCTGAACGAGCTTTGTTTTTTACTTAAAGGATGTCAGACAGTTCTTTCTCCAACCGCTTCTGAACCTGACACCACATTGACAAAAACCAGTCCCAAGAATTCCTTGAAAGGAGATAAAGATCCTGGAGAAGAGAGTGAGGCTGTGGATGGCAAGCTCTCGATATTTATCCACAAGCGGGAAGACCAGTCATCCCATGAAGTCCTTCAGCCGTTGCTAAGGTGACCGTAATGATTGTGATAGCTACACGTCCTCAAGCACCACCCATGTCACAGGCACTGTGCTAAGTAAGCCCTGTACATGTATCGACTGCCTCGGCGCTCTTTACACCCCTTTCAGGTAGACACTGTCACTGTGATTCCTGTGGTGACACAGAAAGAAACTGAGGCAGAACTGAACTGCAGATGTAGTCCTCTCTGACCACAAAACCCAAGCTCTGAACCACAACTTGGTGCTGTCTCTCTAAACACAGCTGAGAGCTAAAGCCATGTGGACAATGTATTATTGTCTATGGGAAGTCTCCAGTGTAGCTTGGGCTTTGAGGAGGAATAATGCAGTTTGATTTTTAGTTATTGGCATCCTTCAGCTGTCGGTAAATTTAGGTAAACTCCAACTCATTGACTGTGATTTGGAGAAACAAGAGACACTTTTTTAAAATTTTAATTGGTTGAAGTATGAAATGGTATGATTACTCAAGCAGGAAGTAAAAATATAATCATTGCCCAAATACTACAAACCTGCAGGGCTTTGTTAGTGGGATCCAGGGCAACAGGAAGGCTTGCCACATAGCACAAGGGAATTCAGAGCAGGTATTTATGTCTCAGATGGAAGAGGCCTCTCTTTACTTAAATGCTCTGACGATGTTGTCATCCTCATAATTGAATCTGCTGTCTGCCATTATGGCAACTGAAAATATTAATGGGACCATGGTATAAACTAAGCAGGATTATGGCAGGTCAGGGCTTACATGAGGAAATCTCCAGGAAACTTTCCTGGACATTGCAATGCATCATAGTACAAATTTGGTGAAAAATTTTTTTTGGAGAACCAAGTTCAGGAGGCAGGGGAAGCTGAACTGTTAGAAAGGAAGATCCAGTCATTTGCCAAGGGATCACATTTATGGTGTCGTTAAAGTTCCCTCTCCTTGGGGTTTAGATGATGTCCTCAGGCCCTGCCTTTGTTCTGGGTTCATGTCAGTTTTTCATTTTGTGCATTATTTTCATCTGGATTTCTAGATTTACTTACAACTCTAAAAACGCTGTTGTTTTGGGCCCTAAAGTGCTATAATTAAGCAGTAATAAATGATTTCCTTTTTGAAAAATTGAGTCTTACTGTGGATTTTAAAAGCTAGTGTTAGAGGGCCAGGCATGGTGGCTCATGCCTATAATCCTAGTGCTTTAGGAGTCCAAGGCAGGAGGATGGCTTGAGCCCAGGAGCTCGAGACCAGCCTGGGCAACATAGCGAGATCCTGTCTCTTCAAAATATACAAAAATTAGCCAAACATAGTGGCGTCAACCTGTGGTCCCAGCCATTTGGGAGACTAAGGTGGGAGAATCACCTGAACCTAGGGAGGTCGAGGCTGCAGTGAGCTGTGATCACGCCACTGCACTCCAGCCTGGGTGACAGAGCAATACCCTGTCTCAAAAAAGAAAAAAAAAAGCTCATGTTAGTGTATAATGGGGCCTCACCATGACTGGGTGGCCCCATGACATGCAGCCCACTTTTGGCAGTGCCTGTAAGGTGTGCTCTGCTCTCTGCCTGCCTTTTTTTAGTAGTTCAGAAGGACGACCTTTCCGACTTGGTACTGGCGCCAACATGGAGAAAGTTGTGAAGATGGATCGAGACATGACCAAGGTAACCTCATGAGGTTAAACCGATTAAACCCGAAATTGTAGAGTATTTGTCATGCTTTAGATTTTCAGAACAAATTAAGAAAAGAAAAATTAGTTCAAGTTCCAACGAAGAGGCAACGTGAGAAATTGAAGTCAGTGCCTTAATTGAGGCCATTTTAGTCAAAATCAGTTTGTCAAAATCAGAACTTCTAGTTTTGACCTAGAAATTTTTTGTTAGCTCTTTTAAGAAAGTTTAATAGTTTAAAGTTGAAAATAGTTTAATAGCCTAAAAATAGTTTGAGATAGGTGAAATAGTTGAAAATAGGTGAAAGGTTGCTAAGAAAATAACAGATAATAAGAATTACAAATACCTTATTAAAAATATAAAAATATGCCCAGGCTCACACATAATCAAAGGAAAGGAATAAAGACAATAGTAATACTTCATTTTCCATCTGTCAGACAAGTAAAGTCAAGAAAAATTAATAATAGCCTTTATTATCAAGGTGAGGGTAAATAAAGTCTCAAGTGTCCAGGGAGAAACACAGGGTGTTCTTCACAGTTTTGTTTGAAAAAACAAAATAGGCCAGGCGCTTTGGCTCACACCTGTAATCCCAGCACTTTGAGACACCAAGGCAGGTGGACCACCTGAGGTCAGGAGTTCAAGACCAGGCTAGCCAACATGGCAAAACCCTGTCTCTACTAAAAAATACAAAAATTAGCCAGGTGTGGTGGCAGGCACCTGTAATTCCAGCTACTTGGGAGGCTGAGGCAGGAGAATCGCTTGAACCCGGGAGGCGGAGGTTGCAGTGAGCCAAGATCACACCATTGCACTCTAGCCTGGGCGACAGAGCAAAACTCAGCCTCAAACAAAACAAAAACAAAAAATAGGATCCACGTACTCATAAACAGGGGATTGGTTAAGAAATTATTACAGTCATATAATGAAATGCTGTGCAACTATAAAAAACAATGAGATAGATCTCCATGTATTGATATGGAAGAGTCTCTGTGATATACTGATAACTGATAAAAGCAAAATGAAAAGCAGCCTGCATGTCGGGGCCCTCTGATACGTATGCCAGAATTTGCACGGAAGTGATCTAGATGACTAACCATTATCTCAGCCTGAATGAGGTCTGGGATGTCTATGGAAATTTTACTCTCTACATATAATATTTTATGTTTGAATTTAAAAAAAATGAGCGTGGATGGCTTTGGTAATTGAGGGGAAATAGACTTGAAAAATACAGTGCTGGGAAGAATGAAATGAATCTTCTCAGCGTCTTCAACCTCACCCCTAGGGTGGCTGTTGTGAAGTGATTACAGAAGAGGCTGCAGCCGCCCTGCGGAAAGCCACCAAGTGGGCACAGTCGGGCCTCATCGTCAGCATTGGGCCACCTGTAGAGTCTATCAACCCAGAGGCTGTGAGTGGACTATCCACAGGTGACAAAAAGAAAACCGCCCAAACTTCCATTTGCCGAGAGAGGAACTCGGAGCTTGCGAGGTAAACCTTCCACAGGTAGAAGCTATCCACACTCATCTCAGGTTTACTTTGTAATGGGTTTGTTTTTCGTATTTTAATTTTCTACCATCCTCTTACCTCTTGGAAATGAGGCCTCCATCTGCTGTAGTAGTTGCACTCAAGGTGCAGCCTGGAGTACTTCAGAGAGTAATGACTATCCAGGTAGATCTGAGGTTGTCATGAAAGAATAGAGGGATGCTCCTGGCTGAGGGGACATTTATAGCCAGAGGATTCTTTTGAGTAGTTTTAAAAAACTCTGGTCTTGTTACCTTTATTTCTTGCAAATGGTACATCTCCACTGCGCCAACTGAACACACACACACGCTTCTTTCTAGGAGCAGAAGCAGCAGTTAAGTGTTACCTCTGTGAAGTTGGTTCGAGGTGTTTTGTGCTTGAAAGCCAGGAATAGTTGCAATGCAGTGTCTTTCCCTGATCCTCATGGCTTATAAATAAAGTTCGAGGTCCATTGTTTGAGGCAGTTCTTCAGATACCACAAGGAATATGACACAGTGATTTCTTCCTAATGATAATGCAGCTTCTTGTTTTCTCAGTCAGTGGAATCCACTTTTTCTTATGTAAATAGAAAAGGTTTCTCTCTGATGGTAACCCTGAAAGCCACTTCCCTGCTGTCTTAATCATCACTGGGCACTGACACTTTTTCCTGTTGACACTTGCAGGACTGATCCCGTGCGTCCCTTCATCAGTGGGCACGTGGCAAACAGCATGGCTGCAGAAGTGATCGCCTTGCTACATAGCTTGCTCATGGCACCCGAATCAAATGCTGCTCAAATATGGACCACAACAGCAGAGAAGGTTAGCACAGTGTTGCTACTCAACTGAGAAAGTAAGAAGTAAGCTAATTAGAGTTAGAATCATACCCAGCAAGGGACATTTTAGTCCATATTCGTCAGATATACCTGTTAACTGACTTTCCCCTGGAATTTGCCTTGCTGTAGTAGTTTCAACTCTGTTAACCTATATCTCCTGTCACTGCCAGTTCTCATTTTGCAGAAGATAGGACAGTATTCCCCGGGAAAGAGTGACAGGCCTTGTTTCTCTTCTTGCTTATGTTAGATTGGTACTGACATTAGGAGATCATGCAGCACTGGTTTATTGGATTTAAGCGTACTCGCTAAGTCCAAGGAGGCCTCTGTGTGATTTACACTACCTGAGTGCCCTATTAGTAAGTGATTCATCATTACAAACAGTATCCCAGTTGCCTGAAACTACAGATCTGTAATCAATTCCCGCTTTCCACAGCTACTCTTCAAGTGAACCCCTTATGACATGTCCTGAAGGTAATTGAGTGTTGACAAGTGGACAGTATGCTGGGATGGTTTTCCTTCAGATAAATGATTGTTTCATTTTACAGGTTTTAGTGACATGATGTTTTATTCTCCCAGTTGTGTATTTCCAGTTTTGTCCAGTTACATAGACAAATATGGGCAAATGTCATTGGCCATACCTGATAGCTTTTTGGTCCCTCACATGTCCAGAGTTCCTTCAATACATGGGACCCAGGCCCTGTTGTAGACACTTTGTCACCCTTGGCATCAAAACAACCAAAGCTTTAACTCCTAGTGCACGGGCTGCTTTTATATTTAGGTTCTGTCTCGAGCACTGATGTACATTCCACAATTGGGGAAATACGCAGAAAGCATTCTGGAAAATGGCAGCAGCAGTGGCAGGAAACTTGCCAAACTTCAGAGAATTGCCCGCCAGGCTGTTGCTGCACTGTGTGCACTTGGAGGCTTCAAAGAGACAATCAAGATAGGATCCGAGGTTCAGGTACCAACCACCATTTTCCCCAAATCATTGCTTCTCCCATATATATAAGCATCCATTGGTTAGCTGATCATCTGTAAGACAAGTATTATCCAACCAGCTGGACAAAAAAACCTGTTTCTTCAAGTTAAATAAGGAATCTGAGAAACTCTTGAATTCAAATCCACACTGTGCCGCACATCATTCAGATATTAATGCAATGCTATCTTAGGTTAACTGCAATACTTGTGTCCTGTACTGTGGTCAGTATCAGTCTTAGAATTGATGATGGACTTAGAATGGAAGGAAAAGAGTATCTTCCTGCAAAAATTTATTTACCGTTAAACAGCAGTAACAAGTTTTTTGTTTGCTTTGAGACAGAGTCTTGTTCTATTCCCCAGGCTGGAGTGCAGTGGTGCAATCTCAGCTCGCTGCAACCTCTGCCTCCCAGGTTCAAATGATTCTCCTGCCTCAGCCTCCCAAGTAGCTGGGATTACAGGCACCCACCACCTTGCCCGGCTAGTTTTTGTATTTTTAAGAGATGGGGTTTCACCATGCTGGCCAGGCTGGTCTCGAACTCCTGACTTCAAGTGATCCGCCTGCCTCAACCTCCCAAAGTGCTGGGATTACAGGCATGAGCCACCGCACCTGGCCTAGCAGTAATGAGTTTCTGTTTGAGAGGACAGCACATTGTGATCACCTTGCAGTTAGGTTTTAGGGCCTATAATAAGTCATGTCTAGGGATTGGTATCTGCTACGCTGGTAGTATAAACTACTGTAACGCCAACAATGGCAACTATAAATTTACTCTTTCCTCTTGTGTCATAACACAGCTGCCCACACATCAGAGCTGGTTGGTAGTGCTAATCTATCTCTGTCTCCAGGTTTTAGGTAGAGGAATCTCAGGAAGCATTGGAGTAGTGGCTTCTATCAATGAACAGGAAGGTATAGCTACAGTCAGATTCTCACCCATAGACTGTAGAAAGACTTCGCAAGCGTCAGACACATTGACTATTCCATTGTCTAGACTTTGTGTTCCAAGATCAGAGGTAAGGTGATTTTTAAATGCTTCGTAAAATATCTGCCAATGGTAACTGTACTGTAATGAGTCTATGCACATGCTCAGTGCAGAAGCACAAATGCTTGGTTGTCTTAAATTGTACTTGCGATGTATGTTTATATATTGGTTATAGTTATTTAATGGTAATGCTTATGTGAAAATTTTCATCTAGATGACCAAATTCATTTCTTTGTTCGTTAGGGCTATTCTACAGTATATTTTTAATTGTTTTGATGTGTTTTGCAGTTTTCTGTATGGTGATTTTATTTTTTTAACTGAAAATTTAAGAACTCCAGATAATAATAACACCCTCATTTCTTATAAACTAACTACTTGAATTTAACTTTTTGCCATGCCCCCCACCGCCATCAGGCATTGCCTCTTCATAAACTGTCCATTACTGAGAAGGTAGTACAGGCAGTCCAGTCCATGTTGCTTCCTCAGGAGGGAAGTCTCTCTATTCACACCTCACTTCCTGCAACAGGAGATGGGTCAGCTCCTGTGATGGCAGTCGTTCGGCTCCTTGCTGAAATAAGGACAAGGTGAGTACCCTTCCCATGTTGCTTGATGTGCTGACGTGGTGCAAGCTGACAGAAGAAGGGATCCTTGGTGGGCCCCACCACTCCCAACTTAATGAGTCCACAGCTTGAAGCTCACACTAAACTGAGCAACAGTAACCATTCTTTTACAGTTTTTTCCAGAGTTCATTGCATTCCTTAATTTCTGCAATTTTTGTTGCATTCCCCCATGTCTACACTTCAAAATAAAGTTTAGCTGTTCACCTAAGAAAATAAACATACAAATGAAATGTGATGTATGAAACACATATATAAGGCCCCACTGATTTGCTTTGTTAAATAGAACTTTGTTCCAACACAGGAATAACTCTACTACCTTGAGGCAGGAGAATAGCTTGAACCCAGGAGGTGGAGGTTGCAGTGAGCTGAGAGTGCGCCACTGCACTCCAGACTGGGCAACAAGAGCAAAACTGCTTCTCAAATAAATAATTAAATAAATAAAATGATTCAGGCCACATTAATATATATCTGGCCTATCACTTTCCAAACTGAAGATGGGAAACCTAGGATATGCACACAGGGGTTGGTGTTGGTCTTTTCCTGCAAATACATTTATTTAGCATTAAATAGCAATAACAAGTGTCTCTTTTTGACAGTGGAACTTCTTTTATTTTTTTTTTTTCGACACAGAGTCTCCCTGTGTCACCCAGGTTGGAGTGCAGTGGCATGATCTCGGCTCACTGCAACTTCTGCCTCCCTAGTTCAAGCGATTCTCCTGCCTCAGCCTCCTGAGTAGCTGGAATTACAGGCGGGTGCCACCACCCCTGGCTAATTTTTATATTTTTAGTAGGGATGGGGTTTCGCCATGTTGACCAGGCTGGTCTCAAACTCCTGACCTCTGGTGATCCACCTGCGTTGGCCTCCCAAATTGCTGGGATTACAGGCGTGAGCCACGTGCCTGGCCAACAATGGAACTTCTTAGAAACTTCTAGTATGTATTTTGCATCAGGTGAGAGCGATCACCATACAGATTTTCCCAGTTTTTGAATCCCTCTTGCTTCCCTAGGGCACATTTAGGAGAAGCTTTTAAGAGACAGTGCTGATTTCTCACCCAGCACTTTGTGTCTCCATTTAGTGGCGATGGCAACCATTTTTCTCTTTTCCAATTCTTCATGCAGTGTCAGCAGTTACTGTGTGGCAAAAGAGAAGTTATTTATATATTTCCAAGGCAGTCCAGCTCAGAAAAAAAGCAAGAAGAGTGGGGAGTTTGAACCTTGTAAACTGGGGGACAAAATTGATTGAAATGTTTTTCACAGTTGACTTTTTTAGACAATGAACACTGATGACTTTGAAATATTGTAAATCTTTTAACATTAAGAGCATGCCTGGTCATGGCCCAGCTTTTAGAAGACAGCTTATTTTGTGAAGAATTCATACAACAATGTCCAGCAGCTGTTGAAGTTCTTAACCTGGTAGCCCAGGAATGCAGTGCTGGTAAGTACCTGAACTTTCTTTACCACCCTGTTTTATTGAATTTTCTCAGCACTTTTGCAATTTGATAATGGCATGTTAAGTGTTTTCATACACACACGTCAAAACAGCTGAGCTGTAAGGACAACACCTGTCACAACTCACATGCATCACAGACCTAGAAATGTAAATAAAATGCTTTAATCTATACCAGTTAGGAAATCAGCATTTTTCAATTTAGCTTTAAGACCATGTCAGAGTGTTTTCTTTTCTTCATTCCTATTGATTTGTTGCCTTTATTTACCTATTAGAGCTATAATATTTAGGAGCTGTCCTTAGGCCTGGCGTGTACATTTTGACTGTTGTCATTGGCTACACTTGAATTCCCAGTCAAGAGTTTGCACTAACATCCATCCTGGCATGTGTGTGTGTGTCTGTGTGTGTATGGAAAAGTCCAAACAAATAGCAAAATTGAGAGACTAGTATAATGAACCTTCAGGATTCCATTATCCAGTGTCAACAGTTGTCAACTCATAACTGATCCTATTTTATCTGTGCTGCAACCCCTGGAATTATTTTTAATCCTAGATATTATTTTATTCATAAATATTTTAGCATATGTCTCTGAAAAATAAAGAATCTTAAATAACTACCATACCATTATCACCTACCTACATTATTAACAGTAATTTTAAAATATTATTAAGTATCTAAGCTGGGCATGGCAGCACGTGCCTGTAATCCCAGCTACTTGGGAAGCTGAGGCAGGAGGATTGCTTGAGCCCAGGAGTTTGAGTGCAGCCTGGGCAACATCGTGAGACCCTGTCTCTAAAAATATGTGTATATACATATCTAGTCAGTGTTTAACTTCCTAATTTTCCCATAACGATCATTCTTGTTTTTACATTTATTTATTTGAATGGGGATCCAAATAAAGTTTACAAATTGTTACTTTGTTGCTGTGTCTTTTTAATCTATCTTAAAATATAGATTCCTCTTAGTCTTTGCTTTTTTTGTTTTGTTTTGTTTTTTTCTGCCTTACAATTTGTTTGTGGAAGGTTTCCTAGTCTGAATTTTGATGACTGTATCCCTGTGGTGTCATTTACTATGTTCATTTACCCTTCTGTTTCCTGTAAATTGGTAGTTGGCCTGGTTAAATGAAAATTTACCCTTTGTCCCCAAGGATATAACTGGACCCTAAGTGAAATTGTTCACAATTCAATTAGCATTCCTTCAATGCTCTAATGCTAACATTTTCACAAACTTCATGTTAGAAATGGACAGCTTTAAACTCCGTTAGTGTTTGTAGGTTCATCCTCTTTTTTTTTTTTTTGGTCATTTAAAAAATCTGTATTACTTTTTCTCATGCCATTTATTTTGTCAGTAACTCTCTAATATCTTTTCTGTTTGTAATTTTTGTTACTCCTTCACATTGTGGTCATTTCTGTTGTTTTCTTTTTATTTTTAAATTTGTCTATATCTGTTTTACTTCTCACATCTCTTTCTTTTGATAAGGGTAGTGCCTTGGATTCAGCAGAAGCTCCAGCTGGGAGATCCAGGAACCATTAATAAACCTCAGAGAGATCCTAAGAATAGAGAACAAGAACAGAAGCAAGGGGTGTGCTAGGCTTCAAGGGTGAAATTACTTGTGACTTCGTTTTGTACTCTTAGTAGGTCCTTAGTTCACTGCCTCTGACTTTTTTTATATTGTTGGCTTAGATTGCATTCAAAGACATATTTTGACTGATTATAGCAGCATATAACATGCTGAATTAATCATTTGATTTTCTATGGTACTGTTTCTGGGTATCCTCTTTTATATATTTTATAGAATAAAGAGGTCTTAATTGTGAAATTTACATTGATACTGAATGCACAGGGTAGGATTTGTAATAATTTAGAGCAGTGGTCTCACGTGGTTTTGATCATAGTCCACCTAACCTGTTTTTCCTAGCGGAAAACCACTTTGCGGTAACAAAGAGTTGCAAAGAAATGTGTGGGAAGTGCTTGTTAATTACTATAAAAAAGACTATGAGCTTATGCACATTGATTTGTATTCTAAATAGTATCCTATGTAAAGTTGAAGAAGCCTTGGGCCAGGCGCGGTGGTTCACGCCTGTAATCCCAGCGCTTTGGGAGGCCGAGGCGGGTGGATCACGAGGTCAGGAGATCGAGACCATCCTGGCTAACACGGTGAAACCCCATCTCCACTAAAAATACAAAAAATTAGCCAGGCGTGGTGGTGGGCGCCTGTAGTCCCAGCTACTCGGGAGACTGAGGCAGGAGAATGGCATGAACCTGGGAGGCAGAGCTTGCAGTGAGCCGAGATCCCGCCACTGCACTCCAGCCTGGGTGACAGAGCAAGACTCCATTTAAAAAAAAAAAAAAAAAAAAAAAAAAGAATCCTTAATAACTCACTTATTAGGTTACCAGAAATGGTTCTGACATTTAAAGTAAATAGCAAAGTTTACTGACTCCAGTATCAGTGATAAAAACCAGAGGGAAAAACCTACATTCTGGGTTACTTTGCAGAACAGTGGTAGATTCTTAGGCCTACAAGGGAAGCATAGACTACACTCAGGAGAAAAACTGTTTAATAAACAAGATTCAAGGTGAGGGGTAGGTAGAGGAGAGAGAGTTACTTGATTTCATTTTTTAAAGTATTAAAATTTTTATTTTATATATGAAAATGTCATGAAATTTATCAGCGATAATGTATTGATACTCAAATTTTTAAAATTTTTAAATTTTAAAATATTTTAATCAACTTCCATTATTTTTCCTCTTCTGGGATGAATTAAGTGGCAAACTTGGCCATTCTAATATTTATTCACTGATAGCTAAATTTTATAGCATCTCTATCTAAAGAAGACAGTACCAGATTCCATTTGGTCTGGGGAGATAGCACTACAAAACTTTTTTCCTTGAAAAAATATTCCTGAAGGACGGGTGTGGTGGCTCACGCCTGTAATCCCAGCACTTTAGGAGGCCGAGGCGGGCAGTTCGAGAATAGCCTGGCCAACATGGTGAAGCCCTGTCTCTGCTAAGAATACACAAATTAGCCAGGCGTGGTGGGGTGTTCCTGTAATCCCAGCTACTCGGGAGGCTGAGGCACGAGAATCGCTTGAACCCGGGAGTTGGAGATTGCCATGAGCCGAGATCGTGCCACTGCACTCCAGCCTGGGCGACAGAGGAAGACTCTGTCTAAAAGAAAGAAAGAAAGAGAAAGAGAGAGAAAGAAAGAAAGAAAAAAATATTCCTGAGACATTAACTAGATCCCTTGGTTGAAATAACAGAGGAAGCAGATTTTTGAGCCTGAAGAAAAGGCACATAGAAACCAAAAAAGTTCTCAACATTATTTTACCCCCTTGCAGAAGCTAGAATCTCCCAGTTTCAGCTGTTTCCTCTTCTCCCAGCTTCCTAATGTACTTATTCCCTGAGCCAGATATTCTCCAACTTTGGAAGTTCCTCGGAACTCCCAGGAAGCATGATTACAAAGTCAGAATTTTAAGTAGAGAGTGGTCCCAGACGGCAGGCTACAGGGACCATCAGACCTCACTGGAAGAAACAGGGCTCCAAGTTTTGCCCTGACCCTCCTTTACCTACCCTTCTCCTGAGCTTTCCTGGATTCTACACTGAGCAATTCCTCTGCTGAGATCCAGGCTTAGCAGCTACTTCTTTAAAATATCCCCCTCCCCAGCCTCATGAATGCACCAAATTGATAACCAAAGTCATTCCTTACTCTAGAATCAGCTCTCCTTCCCGATTTCCCTGCTTTACTTAATATTCAGACTAATTTTGTTTTTGTTTTTGTTTTTGTTTTTTGAGACAGGGTTTTGCTTTGTCGCCCGGGCTGGAGTGCAGTGTTGCAATCAAGGCTCACTGCAGCCACAACCTGGGCTCAGGCAATCCTCTTGCTTCATCCTCCTAAGTAGCTGGGACCACAGGTACACACCACCATGCCCGGCTAATTTTTTTGTTTTGTTTTTTAAAGGCAGTCTCACTCTGTTGCCCAGGTTGGAGTACAGTGGCACGATCTTAGCTCACTACAACCTCTGCCTCCCAGGTTCAGGTGATTCTCCTGCCTCAGCCTACTGAGTAGCTGGGATTACAGGTACCCGCCACCACACCTGGATAATTTTTGTATTTTTAGTAGAGATGGGGTTTTACCATGTTGGACAGACTGTTCCCAAACTCCTGACCTCAAGCGATCTGCCCAGACCTCAAGTGATCTGTCCAGACCTCAAGTGATCAGCCTGCCAAAGTGCTGGGATTACAGGTGCGAGCCACTGCACCCAGCGTAATTTTTTTAATTATTAGAAAAATGAGGGCCAGGCGCTGTGGCTCACACCTGTAATTTCAGCACTTTGGGAGGCCGAGGTGGGTGGATTACCTGAGGTCATGGGTTCCAGACCAGCCTGTACAACGTGGTGAAACCCTGTCTCTACTAAAAATACAAAAATTAGGCCGGGCGCGGGAGCTCAAACTTGTAATCCCAGCACTTTGGGAGGCCAAGGTGGTGGATCACAAGGTCAGGAGTTCGAGACCGCCTGGCCAAGATGGTGAAACCCCATCTCTACTGAAAATACAGAAATTAGCCAGGTGTGGTGGTGCACGCCTATAGTCCCAGCTACTCAGGAGGTTGAGGCAGAAGAATCACTTGAACCCGGGAGGCAGAGGTTGCAGTGAGCCGAGATCACACCACTGCACTCCAGCCTGGGTGACACAGTGAGACTACGTCTCAAAAAAAAAGAAAAAAAAAAATTAGCCGGGCATGGGGGTGAGTGCCTGTAATGCCAGCTACTCAGGAGGCTGAGGCAGAAGAATCGCTTGAACCCAGGAGGCAGAGGTTGTAGTGAGCTGAGATCATGCCATTGCACTCCAGCCTGGTCGAGAGAGCGAGACTCCATCTCAAAAAAAAAAAAAAAAAAGAAAAGAAAAGAAAAAGAAAAACGAGATGGGGTCTCCCTATGTTGCCTCTGGGCTCAAGTGATCTTCCCTCCTTAGCCTCCCAAAGTGCTAGGATTACAGGCGTGAGATACCGTGCCAGGTTAGTTTTGATGCCCAGATACTGAGTCAAGTATAATGCCTCTTCTTTGTCCCTTCACATCCAATCACTTGCCATATCCAGTTCTTCCTTTAAAATACTCCTGAGGCTGGGCACAGTGGCTCACACCTGTAATCCCAGCACTTTGGGAGGCCAAGGCGGGTGGAATGCTTGAGCCCAAAAGTTTTGAGACCAGCCTGGGCAAAATGGGAGAAACTCTGTATCTACAAAAAAGCCAGGCATGGTGATGGATACTTGTAGTCCCAGCCACTCGGGAGACTGAGGTAGGAAGATCACCTGAGTCCAGGAAGTCAGCACTGCAGTGAGCTGTGATTGCACCACTGCCCTCCAGCCTGAGAGAGAGAGTGAGACCCTGTCTCAATAAAATAAAATAAAATAAAATAAAGTGCTCCTGAAATTTATCCCTTTCCTGCCCGTTTTCACTACCAACCCTTTAAAACAGGTGCTTTTTTTTTTTTAATTGTAATTTTTATAGCCTGGGCAACATAGCAAGGCCTTGTCTCTACAAAAAATACAAAAAATTAACCAGGTGTGGTGGCTCACACCTGTGGTCCTACCTGCTTGGGAGGCTGAGGTGGGAGGACCACTTGAGCCTGGGAAGCAGAGGTTTCAGTGAGTCGAGATCACACCACTGCACTCCAGCCTGGGCAACAGAGTGAGAGACCTTGTCTCAAAAAAACAAAAATTTGTAGAGACGGGTTCTCACTATGTCTCCCAGGCTGGTCTCAAACTCCTGGGCTCAAGCAGTCCTGCCTCAGCCTCTAGAAGTGCTGGAATTATAGGCATGCACCATCATGCAGGGCCAAGGCAGGTGCTTCTTATCTCTTATTTATTTATTTATTTATTTATTTATTTATTTATTTATTTTTTAATTTAGAGACAGAGTCTTGGTCTGTCACCCAGGCTGGAATGCAGTGGCGTGATCTCAGCTCACTGCAACCTCTGCCTCCTGGCTTCAAGCAATTCTCATGCTTCACCCTCCCGAGTAGCTGGGATTACAAGCATATGCCACCACGCCTGGCTAATTTTTGTATTTTTTGTAGACATGATGGTTTGCTATGTTGGCCAGGCTGGTTTTAAACTTTTGGCCTCAAGTGATCTGTCTGCCTCAGCCTCCCAAAGTGCTGGGATTACAGGCGTGAGCCACCACACCCGGCTTTCTAAGACCTAACTTCATGATATTTTCATTAAGCCTTTCTGGATACTTGAATGAAGTCACTGCTCATTCACCTGTGCCTCTGCTTGTACCTTGTATTACATAATCACATACTGCAGCCTTGCACTGTGCTCTTTACCGTGTGTGTGTGCCTGTGTGTGGTGTGCGTGTGTGCGCACCTTATTTTCCCTCCATAGTAGGAGCTTTGGCTCATTTATCTTTGTATTCTCCAACACCTTGCAGTGTGCCTTGCTCATAGCAGGTGCTCCATAGATATTAGATTTTTAAAGATTAATTTAGATGATAAGGATAATAGTCTTCGTTTATTAGATGATGAGAATAATAACACATTTATTGAATGCCTGTGCCAAGGACTTAGCCACGGGCTTTACTTATTTCATCACGTCTTCACAACAGCCCTGTGATACACAGGTGCTGTTGTTACCCAGTATTGCAAGTGAGATGATAAATACTGAGTACTGAGGCCAGGTTCTGAATCCAGGAGTTGGACTGCACCAGAGGCTAAGCACTTGCCCTCATTGTTGTGCTGCTGGGCTACGTATGGAAGACAAAGATGTCTCGGGGTATTTGTTCTTTTGTAAGAATTTCAGGCCAGGCGTGGCGGCTCGTGCCTGTAATCCCAGCACTTTGGGAGGCCAAGGCAGGTGGATCACCTGAGGTCAGGAGTTTGAGACCAGCCTGGCCAACATGGTGAAACCCTGTCTCTACTAAAAATACAAAAATTAACCAGGTATGGTGGCACGTGCCTGTAATCCCAGCTACTCGGGAGGCCGAGGCAGGAGAATCTCTTGAACCCAGGAGGGGAGGTTGCAGGGAGCCAGGATTGCACCACTGCACTCCAGCCTGGGCAACAGAATGAGACTCTGTCTCAAAAAAAAAAAAATAGAATTTCATTGAGCTCTGTAAGTGCATTTTATTGTTTTGATGCTGCTCCAAAAGAGTCAGCATACTCTTGGGAGTAGCAGGAACTGTTTTCACAGATTCAACATGTGCCTTCTACAGGAGAGCGACTTGCAGTTGTGGAGGTACAGTGTGAACGGCTGAGGATGCTGTACCGGGACTGTGCTCGGCCCCCACCGCCTCCTTTGCAGGCTGACCGGAGACAGGTGAGCCCTCTGTGGTGCTTTGCACCTCCTGCAGCCACCACACACATCATTGAGTAAGGCCAGCAGCAAGTTAAGGACATTTAGAATAAGTGTTTGCAAAGCTGTTTGGAGGTGCGTTCTTTTGCGGTGACATGCCCTCCTTTGCAGTGCCATGCTCTCATCTTTGACTATCAAAGCAAATTAAGCTGACATTCTGAATATTGGAAAATTATAGCAGGGGAACAAAACTTAGTAATTTATAAATAGCTTCTTTGTGTTGTCAATAATAAAACGAAAGCTTTTTTTTTAAGTTTAGAGATACAGTCCCTTTCATAATAGAGAATATGAGTGAGTAATTAAAAAACAAAAGTGGGCTGGGCATGGTGGCTCATGCCTGTACTCCCAACATTTTGAGAGGCCGAGGTGGGCAGATCACATGAGGCTGGAAGTTTGAGACCAGCCTGGCCAACATGCTGAAACCCCATCTCTACTAAAAATACTAAAATTAGCTGAGCGTGGTGGTGCACATTGGTAATCCCAGCTACTTGGGAGGCTGAGGCAGGACAATCGCTTGAACCCGGGAGGTAGAGGTTGCAGTAAGCCGAGATTGTGCCACTGCACTCCAGCCTGGGGGACACAGCAAGACTCTGTCTTCAAAAAAAAAAAAAGAGGGGCAAAATGTTAAAAAATAGATACATCTGTTAATGTTCTTAGCAGCATTATTCACAATAGCCAAAAAGTGGAAACTGCAAATATCCATCAATTGATAAATAAATAAACAAAATATGCTATAGCCATGTAATGGAATATCATTTGTTTATAAAAAGGAATGAGGTTTTGATATATGCTACAACATGAATGAACTTGAAATTACACTAAGTGAAAGAAGCCAGACACAAAAGACCACATCTTATGTAAGTCCATCTATATGAAATGTCTAGTACAGGTAAATCCATAGATACAGAAAATAGATTAGTGATTGCCAGGGGCTGGGGGCAAAGGAGAGTTAAGGGAAGAGAGGAACAGGGATTGACTACTAAAGTGTATGGAATTTCCTTCAGTAGGGACAAAAATGTTCTAAAATTAGGTCACGATAATAGTTGCACAATTCTGTGAATATACTAAAAACCATTGACTTACCCCATAAATGTATACACCTACCATGTACCCATAAATATTAAAAATCAAAACAAGACATTGACTTATACACTTCAAACGGGTGAATTGTGTGTTACATGAATTCGTTTTTTTGGTTTTTTGTTTTTTTTAAATGGAGTCTCGCTCTGTCACTGAGGCTGGAGTGCAGTGGCCTGATCTCAGCTCACTGCAACCCAACGTCCCGGGTTCAACCGATTCTCCTGCCTCAGCCTCCCGAGTAACTGGGATTCTGCAGCCTGGGCGACAGAATGAGACTCTGTCTCAAAAAATAAAAATAAAATAAAAAAATAAAAAATAAAAAAAGATGCTTTTATCTGATAGAGAAGCTTGAGATTTTTATGGTTAGAATGATTAAAAATAAAACTGAGAAAGCAAGACAACTAACCTTTAAAAAAAGAAAAAGGAAGTGTCACTATGGTACCCCTACTTAGCTTTGAGCTGAATATTAAGTCATGCATTTATAAATTGAACTAAAATTTGTTCTGTAACTACATGGGGACTATAAGAGGATGGGGACCAGACCTTGGAATTGATGATAATGGAAGATAAGTAGTGTCTTAAAAGGGTAGTAAAAATTTTATTTGGAAAAAAGATACGCTTTTTAAAAAATATATGTGCCTGGCGGGGCATGGTGGCTCACGCCTATAATCCTAGCACTTTGGAAGGCCAAGACAGATAGATAGCTTGAGCCCAGGAGTTTGAGATCAGTCTGGGCAATATAGCAAGACCCCATCTTTACAAAGAAATACAAAAATTAGCTGAGTGTGGTGATGCACACCTGTAGTCCCAGCTACTGGGGAGGCTGAAGCAAGAGGATCACTTGAGCCCAGGAGCTTGAGGCTGCATCTAGCTGTGATTGCACCACTGCACTCCAGCCTGGGTGATGGGAGTGAGACTCTGTCTCTAAATAAATAAATATGTGTGTGTGTGTGTGTGCCTATATTTTAATTCCATCAGATAAAATTTTTTTCTTCTTTGAGAAAATAAAGGGATTGGTGTTTGCAGTTCTACTGAATATGGGTTTTTCCCCTCAATGCAGCCCAAAGAGATTACTTGGAGCCCCTCACGAGTGTTTCCGCCTGTTCGAGCCTGCATGTTCTCATCTCACCTTACCTCAGTCACCTTCCTGGCTGACCCCAGTGCTGGGGGAGGCCTGCCCCGGGGCACTTTTATCTATGCCACATCACCACTGCCAGTTCAGGTGAGACATCACATGACACACTGTCTTTTGCATTTTCAAATTTGAAAGAAAAAGCAGGTCTCAGGCCCGGGTTTAGCCCTCTGATTGCTGCTCTCTTCTGGCATCTCTTCAGGCCCCGTCTTTTTACTGGGAAATTGAAATCGTTTCCTATGGAGATACTGATGATGACACCGGGCCCATAGTTTCCTTTGGCTTCACTACAGAAGCAGAGAAGCGAGATGGGGCTTGGACTAATCCAGTGGGCACGTGTCTTTTCCATAAGTAAGTAAAAGAAGTAGCTCAGCGTGACAGAGAACAGTAGCTTCCCACAAGGTGTGTAAGGTGTTCAGGAAGTCAAAATAGAGTTCTGTCTTCAAGTGAGTTTGGAGAAAGGAGAGCATTATTTTTCCATTCTGGAGATTTCCAGTGCACATTAGTAAGATTCCTTCCTAGTTGTCCTGTAATTTTTTAAAAACCTGTTTATTTTCCAAATTCTATAACTCTTTATTCTAGGAATACAGTTTGGGAAATACTGGTGTGGGTATTTTAATACTGAAGTGATATTATAATAATCTCACAATGCTGAACCCCCCCCCCACTTCACCACTTCCCTGCTTGTGTGTTGGCCAGTGAGGCTTATCTTTCTTGTCTTTGACCTCCCTTCTTTGTATTTTTCATAGCAACGGCCGAGCCGTGCACTACAATGGCTCCAGTTTGTTACAGTGGAAGAGCGTTCGCTTAGACGTGACTCTCTCCCCCGGTGAGTGCAGTGGGAGCTTTTCCACCCTGTGTGATTCTGTTGGTCTCAGATTTGGGTCTAAACAGGTTAAAGTTAAATAAATTTAGCAATTGGAAATGGGCAATTTGTCATTCAGTGAAAACCAAACACATCCTTGCTGCCCTCTAGTTTACACCAAACCCCTCACTTTATGAGCCCTCACCATTAGAGCCTCCATTTGGTAACTCCAGAGTTACATGTACTTTTGTGCCTTCATCATTAGATAATTCAGAGATTTTGCTTCTATCTGAAGTTTAGTCTTTCTTCACTTATTCACTAATGAGCAGATAAATAGCTTCAAAAAAAGAGAACTCCACCTCTAGCTGTGAGGCACTGGAGAAGTGCCTTATCGGGCCAGGCACAGTAGCTCACGCCTATAATTCCAGCATTTGGGGAGGCTGAGGCAAGAGGATCACTTGAGCCCAGGAGTTCAAGACCATCCTGGGCAACATGGCGAAACCCCATCACTACAAAAAATACAAAAATTAGTGGTGGCACATGCCTGTGGTCCCAGTTACTCGAGAGGCTGAGGCAGGAAAATCACTTGAACCCAGAAGGTTGAGGCTATGGTGAGCTGTGATCATACTACTACACTTCAGCCTGGGTGACAGAGTGAGACCCTATCTCAAAAGAAAAAGAGAGAGAGAGAAATACCTTATTGGTGGTTATAGCCTATAAACATCTGGTCAAGCTTTGACAAATATTCTGCCTCTATGTTTCAGTCACATAGACAGTCAACTCAATAAAGAACCCTTTCCTCCTTCTTTTTAGCCTCTGTAAATAATTAGATCTATATAGTAGTTGAATTAGGATTGGCCCTACATACTCCAGCTGTAGCAAAAAGCAGAATTGTCCTGCTGACATTTGAAGCAGCCGAATATGTTGGTTACTTATTTTTAGACAATACATCTTAGGCTTCATCTATAATAAAACTTAAATTGAGATACTTAGTAAGCAGTCTGGGATGATGAGATGGGGAATATGAAGTCACTCCAATAGGTAACCTCTTGTAGCTGCCTGGAGGGTACTTTTGCCATCACTTGTCCTTAAGGGAGCTGCTTGTTAAATTGCGCTTTTCCTGGGAGCACAGTGTGGTTTTTTTGTGTTTTGTTTGTTTGTTTGTTTGTTCTTTTGAAATGGAGTCTTGCTCAGGCTGGAGTGCAGTGGTGCAATCGCAGCTCACTGCAGCCTCCACCTCCCAGGCTCAAGCAATTCTCCTGCCATAGCCTCCCGAATAGCTGGGATTACAGGTGTCTGCCACCACGCCCAGCTAATTTTTGTATTTTTAGTAGAGACGGAGTTTCACCGTGTTGGCCAGGCTGTCTCAAAACTTCTGACCTCAAGTCATCTGCCTGCCTCAGCCTCCCAAAGTGCTGGGCTCTCAGGTGTCAGCCACCACGCCCGGCCCCTGGCAGCATAGTGTTTTTACTCAAGCCAAGCCATGTTATGACTTGGAAATCATTTCAGGGCAAAGTAGTTTTTCTCTTACTTCACAAAGCAGAACTCAGACATCTCAGCAGAGTACTTACCTAAGTGCTTTAAACACAAAAGGGTGTGTGGGGCAGGGGAGCGGTGGTAGGTTGGGGGAGTGTTTTCAGTGTTTTTATTTTCTTGTTGCTGTATTTGTTGTTTTATCAGTTTTGCTTTTTGAGAACATTTAGAACTGGACCACGGGCATACAGACTACCCTCTTCCTAGAGAAATGTGTCTGCAAAGGAATAGGAATTACAACCCAATCTGTCTAACAGAATCTCAACCCCTCTACCAATACATGGGCTTCCATTCATCAGCAGATACTTGCTGAGCATCTCCTACCTGCTAGGCCCTCTTCTGGCCCCTGGGGATGCCGTGGCGAACAATGACAAGTCCCCAACTATTGGGAAGCTCGCATTCCTGTGGTACCTAAGCCATAGGAGACTCTGTGATCAAAACAGCACCTTAGAACTTCATCCACTTATTGCAGAGTTTAGAAAAGATAAATTATAAGGCCACACATGCTAGCAGCTTGCTTGAGACAGCTGATGTAAGAGAGGCTGATACGATTGACAGGCTCCTCTTGATTCTGTGAGTCCTACCTCGGTGTCCTGTCATCTTGTCAGATAGCAGCCTGGATTATGTTAGTTACCTTCACTTTTTGCAAAATGCCTTAAATGCCTGTAAGTAGGGAACATAATGGAATTCAATGGTCTATCTTTAGCTTACATTGTGAATGGAGTTTAAAATTATATATGTATTTTTTTTCTTTTCTTTTCTTTTTTTTTTTTTTGAGACTGGGTCTTACTCTGTCACCCAGGCTAGAGTGCAGTGGTGCAATCATAGCTCACTGCAGCCTTGACCCCCTGGGTTCAAGTGATCCTCCCACCTCAGCCTCCTGAGTAACTGAGACCATAGGCACACACCACCATGCCTGACTAATTTTTGTATTTTTGTAGAGACGAGATCTCACTGTTTTGCCTAGGCTGGTCTTGAACTCCTGTGCTCAAACAATCTTCCCACCTTGGCCTGCCAAAATGCTGGGATTACAGGCATGAGCCACCACATCTGGCCTTAAATTATATATTTTAAGGCCATTTCTGAATATTCCACCGGAGATGATATTACTATTACCTTTTTACTTGTTTGTCATAAGTAATTCTCCATGTGTCAAAAGAGAAAAACTTCCATTTTTTCTATTTCAAAAATAGTACCTAGTGTTTTCCATTTTTGTCTTGCCTGCCAGGAAAATAAAGGCTAAATTTAATATGTAATTGCGGTAACTGATTTAACACAGACACTAGGCATTTTCCTTCTAAAAAATTCTGACAGCTTCTTTAAATGGGTTGTTTCTGTTATGTTGCTTTATATCTAAGTACAAAAACTTAGGCTGGGTGCGGTAGCTCACACCTGTAATTCCAGCACTTTGGGAGGCCGAGGCAGGTGGATTGCCTGAGGTCAGGAATTCGAGACCAGTCTGGCCAACACAGCAAAACCCCATCTCTACTAAAAATACAAAAATTAACAGGGCATGCTGGTGGGCGCCTGTAATCCCAGCTACTCTGGAGGCTGAGGCAGGAGAATTGCTTGAACCTGGGAGGCAGAGGTTGCAGTGAGCCAAGATGGCACCACTGTACTCCAGCCTGGGCAACAGAGTGAGACTCCATCTTGGTAAATAAAGAAATACAATAACTTCATGTCCATTTCAGAAGTAAATGAGGGCATAAATAGTCAGTGATGTGTAGGGTGACACTCTGGTTGCAAATTTAAATTTTACTTAATAAGAGGGAGAAAATGTATTTTCCTTCCCATTCTCTGCTATAGGTGACGTGGCAGGAATTGGCTGGGAGAGAACCGAGGGGACTCCACCTCCTCCGGGACAACCAGCCAAGGGCCGGGTGTACTTCACGTACTGTGGGCAGCGCCTCTCACCGTATCTCGAAGACGTCTCTGGTGGCATGTGGCCAGTGGTTCACATTCAGAAAAAGGCAGGTTACCTTATTGGGAAAGGAAAACAAATTCTCCTTCGTCACCTGTTCCTGTTAGACATGGAAAAATGAAAGGGAGCAAACAGGCCCTCATTGTACATAATATTGGTACACAATGGCAGAGGAAGGGCAGAGCCAGCCTGAGCGAATGCATGCCTTCCTTTGTGTTGACCCCACAGTCTTAGATTGAATGATACTATATCAGGAACTTAGTGCTTCATTGCTTTGACATCTTTTTAGCAACCTTTCCCAGACAACAATGCAAGGAACACTAGAGTTCTTTCAAATGTCAGTAAAATGATTCCATGATCAAGTAAATTTTGAAAATGATTCTCTTTGGTTGCTCAGTATGTCAGAAACTTGGAGAGATCCTTCAGTAAAGATTTGTAAGTTCAACTTAGTTAACCAGCATCCCCATACATATTTAATGATGGAACTCTTGTTTCTTAAGGACCATCTATTAATATCCAGTGTTCTGGAACATTATTACTTACTACATGCTGGTAGCTCCCAAATCCATATCTCTATTCCAGACCTTTCCCTAAACTCTATGCTCACATACCCAGCAGCCTGGGCAGCATCTCTACAGAGATGCCTTATTGGCATGTCAAGGTTAACATGATCGAGACTGAGCCTAACTCTTCCCCAAACCCAAAACCGCCACTTCCCCAGTCTTCTTCATCTCTCAGGAAATGTCAGCTCCATGCTTTTAGTTGCTAAGGCCAAAAACCTTGATATTCTCCTTGACTCCTCTTTTTTCTCCTGCTTCACATCCAACCTGTCAGCAGATCTTGGTTCTAACCTTCAAAATGTATCTAGAAGCTGACCACTTCTCCCATTCCTCCATCAGCAACCCAGCCCTGCCACCATCTTCCCTTGGGTAGCTCATCACAGTGTTCTAACTCCTCTCCCAGCTTGCATGCTTGCCTGTTCACGTCTTATCTTTTTTTTTTTCCCCTTCAGGACATCTCTAAGGTAATATATGTCTTTTCAACCCAGCAATCACAATGATCTTTTTAAAATGTTAGTTGGAATGCCACTATCCAGTCAGTGGCTTCTCATGTCATGCATTTTAAAAGCCCAAGTCTTCACAATGACTTACAAGATGCAAGGTGTAGTGGTGCCAGAATAGTCCCCGTGGCTCTGGAGGCTGAGGTGCGAGTATCACTTGAGCCCAGGAGTTCCAGGCTGCAGTGCGTTACGATTGCACCTATGAACAGTCAGTTGCACTCTAGCCTAGACAACATAGTGAGACTCCATCTTTTTTTTTGTTTGTTTTGAGACGGAGTCTTGCTCTTGTTGCCCAGGCTGGAGTGCAATGGCTCGATCTCGGCTCACTGCAACCTCCACCTCCCAGGTTCAAGCAATTCTCCTGTGTTAGCCTCTGGAGTAGCTGGGATTACAGATGTGCACCACCACACCAGGCTAATTTTTGTATTTTTAGTAGAGATGGGGTTTCATCATGTTGGCTAGGCTGGTCTCGAACTCCTGACCTCATGACCTGCCCACCTCGGCCTCCCAAAGTGCTGGGATTACAGGCAAGAGCCACCGCGTCCGGCGAAGACTCCATCTTTTAAAAAAATAATCTATAAGGTCGTATAGGATCTGGCCCTGTACCATGCCTCTGATACCATCTTTTATCTCTTTATTTGTTGAGTGAATTAATGATGCCAATAATTTAAAGCAGCATTTCTCAGCCTGTTCCATTCATGCATTCAACAAATATTTATTGAACACTTACTCTATGTCAAGCACTATGCTAAGCTCTGGGTATATGGCAGTGAGCAAAACAGATACGATCTCTGTCTTCATTGGGTTATGATGAGTTGGAGGAATAAGGCTGTACCGAATAATCACATAAATATACATGTGTATGTATGTAATCACAGACTAATAAATGCTGTAAATGAGAATCACAGACTTCCTGGAAGCAAGTGGCAGGCACATCTGACTTGTATCTCTTAATCTGAGGAAGTGCTGCTTGAGCCAGGTCTGGAATATTATTAGCTGGTCTTAACTAGGCAAAGTTGGACAAAAGAATATTCCAGGTGGAAGGAACAGCATGGGTGCTGGTGTCAGGTAGAGAGGAGCAGTATCAGGTAGAGAGGAGCAGTGTTGGAAACAAGAGAGGTCAATGCGTTTGAGCAGCAAAGTGCATGAAAGTGTGAGATGAGGGACGGAGAGGCAGGGCTGGCTGTACAGGGCTCTGAGGGCAGGTGTGTTCAGTCCCTTCAGCCCCTGCCTGGTTTCTCATGCCAGCACACACCTCAGGCTATTCTTCCAAGGTGACGTTTAGTGAGCTGCACCTTGGGCTCTTGCAAAAATAAAAATAAACCTAAGTCTTTCCAAATCCTTCATTTGGTCTCCTTTCCAGAACACCAAAACCCGAGCTAACTTTGGCTCCCGGCCATTTGCCTATGCAGAAGGGCAGGCCCACCGCAATGCTGCCGACCTGTGCACCGACCTAGCAGAAGAGATCAGCGCTAACTTCGAGGCCCTGCCCTTCGCCATGGCATCTGACAGTGACAATGATGCTGGCACCAGTATTGCATCAGACCCAGGCACTCATGGGCCACCATGCCGGATTGCTGCTGTGGCCACCGCTCAGCAACGTAAGTCACCTCCTGGGACTGCCTCCATGGCTTCCTGAGACTGTGAATGTTATGAATTCCATAAACCCATTGCACTTGAGCATCCTCATTACAATCAGGAATTGCAAACTCAAGTGCCCATTGGTAATGGGGTCAAATCTGGTGAAAGAAGGTGGGGAGCAGGAGGAAGCACAGCAGACCACAAAGTTCATCCCCATTTCCAGGAAGCCTGCTATGCCTCAGGGCAGCCAGTGCAAGACCACTAGAGCCCCAGCACTTTGTGTGAAGTCTCCTCATGTCACGTGTTACTCATTTTCAAAACTTGTCCTAAAATTGAGGTAATCACAGAATAATAAAATGCTAGGCAATGGGTATATAGGTGTGCACTAAAAACTCTTATGATGGTCGGGCGAGGTGGCTCACACCTGTAATGCCCACACGTTGGGAGGCCGTGGTGGGCAGGTCACCTAAGGTTGGGAGTTCGAGACCAGCCTGACCAACATGGAGAAACCCCATCTCTACTAAAAATACAAAATTAGCTGGGTATGGTGGCGCATGCCTGTAATCCCAACTACTCAGGAGGCTGAGGCAGAAGAATTGCTTGAACCGGGAGGTGGAGGTTGCAGTGAGCCAAGATCGCACTCCAGCCTGGGCAACAAGAGTAAAACTCCATCTCAAAAAAAAAAAAAAAAAAAAAACCTTTTATAATTACTTGTAACAATTTTGTCATAAAATTAAACAGCTCACCAAAGTAAGGATGTCTGCAAGCCATATTTGGCCCTTGGGATACTGGTTTGCAAACTATTTTAAGATTCTGTTTAGGGCCAGGCACCATGGCTCACATCTATAATCCCAACACTGGGAGGTCAAGGAAGGAGGACAGCTTGAGTCCAGGAGATTGAGACCAACCTAGGCAACACAGTGAGACCCTGTCTCTACAAAAAATTTTAAAACTAGCCTGGTGTGGTGGCACATACTTGTAGTCCCAGCCACTCAGGCTGTTGAGGTGGGAGGATCACTGGAGCCCAGGAGGTTTAGCTGCAGTGAGCTGTCTTCGCACCACTGCATGCCAGCCTAGGCAACAGAGTGAGCTTCTGTCTCAAAAAAAAAAAAAGGTCTGTTTAGTTCTATCCATAGTGAAGGACTTTCTAAATTTTCTCTGAATTGAATGAATTATACTCATAAAAACTATTTTAGGATTCAGGGTAATTATAGATAATTAGTTATTCCTAGACTCTGTGATTTAAAATTCCTCAGCATACTAGGAGTCTTCCTATCATGCAAATTAAGATAATCTGGTTTGTCTAAGGGTAAGAAGTTAAGGATTTTTCTAGCCTGCTCTTGTTTAGAATTCACTGTCCTTGTGCTCTGTTACAGAATATGATAGTGACACCTCCTGTCATTATAAAGTCGAGCTCAGCTATGAGAATTTCATCACCTCTGGCCCAGACCCTCACCCACCTCCCATTGCAGATGATGAGAGCGATGATGATGACGATGATGACATCCCACAGGTAAGAGACCCACGGCTTAGATCAGGACTCAGCAGCATTTGCTTAGCTCCCTGGTGACTAGGACAAGCCTCACGGAGTGATTTTGATGTGCGAGTGCAAAGCTGGTGTTGTTACTCTCAGTGACATCATTGTGCTTGAACAGTGAATGAACCTTAGAGTGTTCATTTTTCTAAACCTCTATCAATAGCGATATCCGTTGGGCCATTTTGCCCAGTTAAGATCCAGAAACTGGAGAAGTGAAGTGCTTTGCAATAGTTCAGAATCCTGTGACAATGCTTCTATGGCTTCTTTAGAGGGAAAGGAAGAGCTTGCCCTAGTCTTGCCGTTCCCTGCCCTGGCATCTGGGGGTATGTCTAGTACAGGGGTCCATGCCTGATCTTTCTATTACTGGCATTTAAGTGGGGTGAAGACCTCAGGGTGAGGGCTGTAAGTTAGGGAAACAATGATACCTGCACTAGGTGTTCCTTCTGCATTCATGAGGTTCCTTCTCCTTCCAGGAGGACCACTACGCCCTGCTGGTGAAAGCATGGGAGACCAAGGTTTTTCCTACCATCCGAAGACGCTTCCGCAATGAAGCAGAGCGGAAATCGGGCCTGGACCAGATAAAGGGAGCCTTACAACTAGGTCTGGTACTTTTTGTTCTGCTAAGGAGGTTACTTCATGACTTGAAGTGAGGAGTTGCATGAAAATCAGAACGTAAATCAGGAGAGACTCATCTAATGTTGCACCAGACTTAACAATGTCTTTGATCTTACCTTTAGTGAACTCTGATCTTTTGTTTTCATTGCTGGACTTTGATTTGCTTGTCAATTTACCTGAATATTTTGGGTTGATGGGCTGCTGCAATGAAGCTGGAGTGGTTATAATAGGAAACTCTGTGGTCTGGTGGTTAACAGTCACATCTGAAGTCACACTATTTACCAGCTGTGTGGACTTAAGAAAATTACTTAACATCTCTGGGCTTTCCCCATCTTTAAAATGGAATTTGTGCTCTGCAAGGTTGATATGGCAGTCTCTCACTGTTACCTGATTCTGCTTATTAAACAGTATTTTTGGCCGGCCCTGGTGGCTCACGCCTGTAATTCCAGCACTTTGGGAGGCTGAGGTGGGTGGATCACCTGAGGTCAGGAGTTTGAGACCAGCCTGGCCAACATGGCGAAACCCCGTCTCTACTGAAAATAGAAAATTAGCTGGGTGTGGTGGCACACGCCTATAGTCCAAGCTACTCTGGTGGCTGAGGCAAGAGAATCGCTTGAACCCAGGAGGCGGAAGCGGCAGTGAGCCAGGACTGTGCTACTGCACTCCAGCCTGGGCAACATAGAACAAGACTCTGTCTCAAAAAATAAATAAATAAATAAATAAATAAATAAATAAACAAACGGTGTTTTCTTTTCATACCCACTGTTCCTTTTGAAAACATTGCAAAGATTATTGTTCCCTAATCTTCTAATATTAGGCCACAATTTCTTGTTTATTCTAACACTTATTTCCAAAAGCATCTGTCTCTAATCACAGCCCCCTTTTAAACTCTGCTCAGAAAATTGCCTTACTTTTTCCTTACAGTAAGACCAGTGAATAAAAGAATGGTAGATAGGTGGGATGGAGTTAGGCCTTGTATTAAAAAAAACAGGTTCTAGGCTGGGCGCAGTGGCTCATGCCTGTAATCCCAATACTTTGGGATGCCAAGGCGGGCAGGTCACGAGGTCAGGAGATTGAGACCATCCTGGATAACGTGGTGAAACCCCGTCTCTACTAAAAATACAAAAAATTAGCCAGGAGTGTTGGTGGGCGCTGGTAGTCCCAGCTACTTGGGAGCCCAAGGCAGGAGAATGGCGTGAACCCAGGAGGCGGAGCTTGCAGTGAGTGGAGATTGTGCCACTGTACTCCAGCCTGGGCAACAGAGTGAGACTCTGTCTCAAAAAATAAATAAATAAAAATAAAAAGCAGATTCTATCAACACCCACTTTTTAAATTATTTTTTTGAGAGAGTCTTGCTCTATATTACCTGGGCTGGAGTGCAGTGGTGCGACCATAGCTCATTGCAGCCTCAAACTCTTGGGCTCAAGAGATCCTCCTGCTTCAGCTTCCCCAGTATCTGGGACTACAGGCACTCACTACCATGCCTGGCTAATTTTTTTATTTTTTGTAGAGACAGGGTGTTGCTATGTCCCTCAGGCTGGTCTTGAACTCCTGGCTTCAAACAGCCTTCCCACCTGAGCCTCCAAAGTGCTGGGATTACAGGTGTGAGCCACTGCCCCAGACCAACACCTGCCCTTTCACCCACAACGTCCTGGGTGCTATGGGGCCTAAGGCAACAACAGGATATGGAGGAATTGTGCCCATTTTGCTTTCCTCCCATAATGCTTTTCCTCCTAGGTCTTTGGACATTTATTTCCTTAGTTTATTAATCAATAGTAGCTGTTGCTCTCAAACATAATCATATGTTCTTTCTCTGGGAAGAAAGAGCAATCTCAGTAAGTGGATAGAAGAAGCTCATATAGCCTTCTTTCTCTCCTAAACAAGCAACATGTGTTTATTGCAGTAAAAATCAAACAGTACAAAAATATATAAAGAAATAAACATGGCTCAGCACAGTGGCTCACACCTGTAATCTCAGCACTTTGGGAGGCCAAGGAAGGCGAATCACTTGAGGTCAGGAGTTTTGAGACCAGCCTAGGCAACATGGTAAACCCCCATCTCTACTAAAAATACCCATTTCTACTAAAAATACAAAAATATTAGCCAAGTGTAGTGGTACACGCCTGTAATCCCAACTACTTGAGAGGCTGAAGCATGAGAATCGCTTGAGCCTGGGAGATGGAAGTTGCAGTGGGCTGAGATTGCACCACTGCACTCGAGCCTGGGCAACACAACAAGACTCTGTCTCAAAGGGAAAAAAAAAGGAAAGAAAGAAAGAAAAGAAAAATAAATGTTACCCTCACTTTCTTCTTCCTCTCTGTTTGTCCTGTAATTTGTTATTTTGAGTTAACGAAAATGAAATAACTGCAAAATAATGGACCATTTTTAGCCATTTTATACTGATGAACACTTCGGTTTTTTCCACTTTTTTGCTATCTACCAACAGTGCTACAGTGAGTATTCTTATACCTTTGCACACTAGTGCTTGTATTTCTTTCTTTCTTTTTTTCTTTTTTTTTCGAGACAGAGTCTTACTGTGTCTCCCAGGCTGCAGTGCAATGACTCAATCTCAGCTCACTGCAACCTCCACCTCCCGGGTTCAAGCAGTTCTCCTGCCTTAGCCTCCCAAGTAGCTGGGATTACAGGCACCTGCCACCACACCCAGCTAATTTGTATTTTTAGTAGAGACGGGGTTTTGCTGGTCTTGAACTCCTGACCTCAGGTGATCTACCCACCTCGGCCTCCCAAAGTGTTGGGATTACAGGCATGAACCACCACGCCTGGCCTTTTTTTTTTTTTTTTCTGAGATGGAGTCTTTCCCTGTCGCTCAGGCTGGAGTGCAGTGGTGCCAGCTTGGCTCACTGCAACCTCTGTCTCCCGGGTTCAAGCGATTCTCCTGCCTCAACCTCCCGAATAGCTGGGATTACAGGCGCCCACCACCATGCCTGGCTACTTTTTGTATTTTTAGTAGAGATGGAGTTTCACCATGTTGGCCAGGCTGGTCTTGAACTCCTGGCCTCAAGTGATCTACCTGCCTCAGCCTCCCCACGTGCTGGGATTACAGGTGTGAGCCACTGTGCCTGGCCTTAGTGCTTATATTTCTGTGGAAGAGATTTGAGACATTCCTAAAAGTACTGCATTTAGTATTCCAAACATGGTAGATACTGCATAATTTCCTTTACCAAAGGATTACATACTCCCATAAACAGTGTTTGAAAGATTCCCTTATCATTTCACTCTGCATGTAACTTAGTGTCGTGGTTGATCTGTGTGAACTCTTTGGGGAGTTACCCAGTGCTGTTATATTTTTTAGGTATGGTGGATATTGCCCGACAGACGGTTGAATTTCTCTATGAAGAGAATGGTGGCATCCCAAGAGATCTTTATCTTCCCACCATTGAAGACATTAAAGACGAAGCAAACAAGTTCACAATTGATAAAGTTCGAAAAGGTTTTGCTTTCCTCCTTACTCCACCTATGAAATTTCCTTTGAAATGAGAGGTTGAATTTTCCTTAATGTGCACAAGCAGCTGGTAGCTCTCCTAGGGTGACTCTCCTTACTCTTTGAGCTGACCTCTTCCACACGCCCCATGTGAAGCCTTAGAGCAACCCTGGTGGAGCCCTTCCCGCTTCCCAGAATTCAGTAGCATTAGCTGAGTGGGGCAGGCAGCTGTACAAGAAAAGAGGTAGGGCCCAGGTTGAGGATTACAGATGGGCCTCTCAGGCTTAGTCCTGTATTCTGAGATGATAAACCACATGCACATGGCTAAACTGGGCTTTTTAGAATTTTAATAAAATGTATTCTCTTTGGTTAAAAATCTATTGCATATTTTAAAGAATTGAGGGAAATACAGAAAAGCACAAAAAAAGAGAATTGAAAACCACTATTTTTAGAGTTACCAGAAGACCTTCATAAAAATACCAGAACATCGTAGGCAAGGCAGGAGGAATATATATTTACTTTTCATCTCTCTTTTTTTGCGATGTAATTCACACATCATAAAATACCCTTTTAAAGTATACAATTTAGTGGTTTTAGTGTATTCACAAAGCTATGCAACCATCAAAACATTGCCTCTAATTCCAGAACATTTTCATCCCCACAAAAAGAAATCATGTGCCCTCATCACTTCTCATTCCTCCCTCCCCTCTGGCCTTTGGGAGCCACTAATCTACTGCTACTACTGATACTGCTATGAACATTTGTGTGTACATTTTTGTGTAGATATGTGTTTTCATTTCTCTCAGGTATATATGTGGGAGTAGAATTGCTGTATCACATGGTAACTTTATGTTTAACTTTTTGAAGAACAACCAAACTAGTTTCCAAAGTGATTACACCATTTTACATTCCCATCAGCAATGTACGAGGGCTCCAGTTTCCCCACATCCTTGCCAACACTTGTTATTAATTGTCTTTTTTATTTTGGCTATTTTAGTGGGCATGAGGTAGTACCTCATTGTGGCTTTGATTTGCGTTTCTCTAATGACTAATGATGTTGAACATCTTTTCATTTGTATCTTTCCATTTCTCTTTGGAGGAATGTTTATTCAAATTCTTTGCCCACTGGCCAAGGGCGGTGGCTCACACCTGTAATCCCAGCACTTTGGGAGGCCAAGGCAGGCGGATCACCTGAGGCCAGGAGTTCAAGACCAGCCTGGCCAACACGGTGAAACTCCATCTCTACTAAAAATATAGAAAATAGCCGGACCTGGTGGTGCACGCCTGTAATCCCAGCTACTCCGGAGGCTGAGGCAGGAGAATCACTTGAACCTGGGAGGCAGAGGTTGCAGTGAGCCATGATCACACCACTGCACTCCAACCTGGGCCACAGAGCAAGGCTCTGTCTCAAAAAACAAACAAAAAATTCTTTGCCCACTTTAAACTGGCTTATTTGTCTTTTTATTCTTGAATTGTAACAGCTTTTACAACGTTCTATTATATTACCTTCCCGACTGAGTTGTGTTCTTGCTTGGTTATAACAAAACTGAGGGTTCTGTTAAAGCCCGTAGAGCTATTTTATTTCATTTTATTTTATTATTTTATTTTTATCTGGAGAGCTATTTTAGATGCTAAATGTAAGAACCCAGATGCAGTGGTACGTTTTCCTGAAAAACTTCTCCCTCTACACTCCTCAGGTCTCACAGTAGTAACCCGCTCTCCAGACAGCAATAATGTAGCCAGCAGTGCTGTTGGAACTGCTCTGCCAAAATTTGCCATCCGAGGGATGCTGAAAACCTTTGGGCTTCATGGAGTCGTCTTAGATGTTGATTCAGTGAGTGAACAGCCATTCTGATTAATAAGCTATTTTATGTATACTGAGGCTGTCATGCCCAGATTCTCAAGTACCTTAAAAAGTGATTATACAGATAAGTTTCTCTTCAAATCAAGGACGAAGACACAAAGCAAAAATGCTCTAATGCCAATTGACTTGCCTGAGCTTTCCTCAGGGACTCAGATCAGGACTGACAGTAGATAGTAGGCTGTCCAGTCTCAAAGCTGTCAGTGCCTTCAGACCACACCACTTCTACCATTATTTTCTGTCCGACACGTTCAGACTGTTCCTGCATTGTATCTACCTAAGTTCCCAGGGAAAAGTCCCCATTGTCCTTGATGAATGGTTGATCTGTCATTGTCATGATGGTCATAGAGACACAAATCAAAGAAATAGGCTGGGCGTGGGGCTCATGCCTGTAATCCCAGCACTTTGGGAGGCCAAGAAAGGAGGATTACTTGAGCCCAGGAGTTCGAGGCCAGCCTGGGCAACATGGTGAGACCCTGTTGCTGCAAAAAATTAGCCAGTCATGGTGGGCATATCTGTAGTCCCAGGTATGTGGGAGGCTAAGGTGGGAGGATTGTTTGAGTCTGGGAGGTCAAGGCTGCAGTGAGCTGTGATGGCGTCAGTGCTCTCTAGCCTGGGCAACAGAGTAAGTCCCTCTCTCCAAAGGGAAAAAAAAGTTGTGTCATTTTGATTACGTCATCTCACTGATTCTCTCAGCCTCAATTTCTGTATCTGTAAAATGAGTGTATTAAACTGGATCAGTAGTTTCCTCCTCCATTTTGCAAAGCTCTCTCCTAGAACACAGCTAGGACTTTTAGGGGTGGGGGCAGAGAAGTAAGAGAGTGAGAGAGGACAAGGCCAGAGCTTTCTTTTGAAAAGAGACTCTGAAAGCCATGACTGTGATTCTGAGGTTGCATGGACATCCTTGTATTTGAGAAGCTTCCTATGCAGGAAAAACTGGTGAAATAATATACAGATCAAGCCTGAGAGTCTCTGATAAAATATTATCAATCACTGTATAGATATAAACTTTGGTATCTGTCAAGAGAGATACAGATGATATTAGATTCCATTAATGCTTTGAAATTTACCTTGAAAAAATGTACATCTTTAGGCCAGGTGCAGTGGCTCATGCCTGTAATCCCAGCACTTTGGGAGGCCGAGGCAGGTGGATCAATTGAGGTCAGGAGCTTGAGACCAGCCTAGCCAACATGACGAAACTCCATCTCTTCTGAAAATACAAAAATTAGCTGGGCATAGTGGCGCGAACCTGTAATCCTAGCTAGTTGGGAGGCCGAGGCAGGAGAATCGCTTGAACCCCAGGGGCAGAGGTTGCAGT